TTTCCCACTGGTCACCGAGTCGCAACTTGCTTGACTCCATGACTAGTGGGAAAATTCCTGTGATCCCATCATCTGGAGTAGGCTCTTTAAAATACTAGTTAGAGTATAGAGCATATAGTCTGCTAGGTTAGTAGAGGTTTCATAGGGGTACATAGCTTACAGTATGCCAGGTCTGTGATGGTATTGGTAGAGGTATGCAGCTAACAGTAAGCCAGATATAGGCCAGATTTGTAGGGGTTTTTGTAAGGGTATGGTGGCCACGGTATGCAGTGTATTAACTGAGTCTATTGGCAGGGGTATATAGCTTGCAGGATGCCGAGTATAGCTTTGGTCTACAGAGGTATTGGTAAAGGTATATAGCATATAGTATACCAGGTCTCTACAGGTATTGGTAAGGGAAATAGCTCACAGTAGATTTGGTTTGTAGAGATTTTGATAGGAGGATATGGCTTACAGTATGCCAGGTCTGCAGGAGTATTAGTAGAGATATATGGCTTATAGTATGTTATGTTCGTGGGAGTATTGGTAGGAGCATATAGTGTGTAGTATACCGGGTCTACCCTGAGTCTGTAAGAGTTTGGGTTGGGGGTGTTTAGCTTACAGTATGCCATGTATCGGCCAGATAGGTAGGGGTATTGGTAGAGGTACACTGCCCACAGTATACCAGTCACTGGCTGGATTTGTAGGGGTTTTGGTTGAAGTATGAGGTCTACAGAGCCATAAGTCTGTCTTGGACTTGTGGTAGCTTTGGTAGGGGTATACAGCTTACAGTGTGCTGAGTCTACCGATGTTCTATAGGGAAATTGGACAGAGTATAGAGGTTACAGTATGCTGGATATTGGCTGGGTCTGTACAAAATTTGATAGGAGTATGCTGTCTACAGGATTCTAGATACTGTAGTTTTTCAACCAGAAGTTCGTAACACATAACACATCACGAAGTTCTAAACCAATTCCGGGTTCGGTGACAAGTAATGTATTCTGTTGCGAACCTATTTGCGTTACCCAGTGCTCGGGCCAGAGACACCCCCAAGGCTTATCCGCATGTGTTGCCCTTTTTACGGAGTTAATTAAGTTCACAGTGACGGTTGTCAGGCTATGATGAACGTCATTCCGCTGGACTTATGAACCAAATCTCAAATACTGTATAGATTCGACCTTAAGTTCAGGCCGTTGGAGCGTTACACGTTATGTGGTCCCAAGTTCATTCAGAAAAAGGTTCACTGACTGCCATGACATGTTACCATAGTTCGGCCTGGGCCAACCAACCTGTGGGAAAGCCTTGCTACAGCTATGTTTTGGAGCTTTGAAATGACTAGAGTCCTTCATGAGCAAGTTGGTGGGATTATCCTTGCCGGTGATGTACGTGACATCTACAAGACCTTACAAAATGACCTCATGGATATAATGATACTGGATGTCAATGTGCTTTGAGTGTTTCTCAGTGATGGAGTTAGATGTGATGAATACAGTGTCTTGGTTGTCACTTGAGATCTCGATTGCTCCAAGATCGTAACTGATCTCACAAAAGAGCTGGTAAATCCACGCTACTTGATACAAGCAATTGCTCAACACCATGTACTCAGCCTCCGTAGAGGAGTGCACAACTGTTTTCTGTGTGTGTGAAACCCAGGAGAATGAAGCACGAGTAAGTGATAGAAAATATCCAGTCTGTGATCACTGGTGGCTTGGGTCAGAAGCTCAATCTGAGTTGGTCATAGCAAAGACGCCTTCACCTGATCTGCTGTCAAATACAAGACAGCAATCCTTAGTGCTAACTAGATAGCAGCAAATATGGAGAGCTTTGTCAAGACGCTCATCAGACGAGTTTGCAGCTTGTTGCAACAGTTTTATGATAGTGAATGCAATATCAGGGTGTGTACTCAGCATGAAGTACATCAGTGACCTAATGACAGTCTGGAACCGGTGCCATAGAACTTTGTCTACTGGATCTTCATTTGGCAACCGGTAATATTCAGAGGGAAGAGGAGTGGCAACAGGTCAAGTGTTATTGAGCCCAACACGGTCAAGCACCTTCTCGAGGTAAGCAACTTGGTCTATCATGACCACATATGCCTGCTGAGGAATGCACATGCATAAGAATTCCTTTGCATCACTAAGATCTCTACATTTCCATTTTTTGACAAATGCATTTTTGAGCTGTTCTGCGAGTTTGCAATCAATGCTGCAGAATAAGGCATCATTGACGTAGACTATGGTGATACAAGTTGAGCCCGTCTTTGCGTCAGTATAGATGTAGATTACTTCATCAGAGTACAGGTGTTTAAAGCCCAGCTTCTCCATGGATTTGGTCATGATTTTCCGCCATTCGAGTCCAGCCTATTTTAGGCCATCGAGCACACGTCTCAGTTGAATGATGAGATGCTCCTTGCTAGGAATTTTAAACCCTTGTGGCTGCTCCATGTAAATCTCCTTGTCGAGTTCAGCACACAAGTAAGCATTGCAAACATCAAGATCCAGGATATGCATGTTTTCGAGTGCACAAAGCCCGAGGATGAGTTTTAGAGACTCGAATCATGCAATGGGTAAAAAGACTTGGTCAAAGTCAATGCCTTCAACCTGCGAGAAGCTCTTAGTAACAAGTCACACCTTTATACGGCTGTCAGGCTTCTCGTCAAACACCCGCCGGTTAAGGATAATACAGTGGTTTGTTGGTCTGTAGATGTACTCAAAAGTACCGTGCTTGCGATGAGCTCTCATCTCATCACACATAGTGGCTTTGATCTTCTCCTGAGCTACCTTAGGCAGCTTCTGTATATCCCGCCATGTCAATTCATGTTAGTTCTTGATGTCTGTTGGCTGAGCCTCATCTAGAATTTCCTTAGTGACCAGGTAATTCATCAGCTTAACTCCCCCTTCCCACATAGCTGTGCCAGATAAACCTCATCAGCCTTTATATCCTCGACAGAGTCGCGAGAAGGAGGTGGTGCAGAACTACATTTGGAAATTTGTCCTGTGCACTTAGACATTCTGGGAGCTTGGGTGCCTGGCTTGGGCATTAGCTCATTGTCTCCAGAAGCTTTCCTCCAATCTGTGCTGAGAACTTCTTCCGCTTTGGGACTAGCAATGAGGCTGGCAGAGGGTATCAAGCCATCTGCTCCTTATCATAAGGAAATAGCTTCTCATCAAAGATTGTCTAAGTGGATGTGGAGAGCACGTTATTTGGGAGGCGCATAGACAACCAATTGTTAAGGTTGCCGGGAGCGACACCTAAGTAGATCATCAACTCTGCTTTTAGTGACTGGGTGTTTTTGCATATTCTCTTAGGAATGTATACATATGCAATACGGCCAAAGCCCTGCAGCTTATTTATGCACATTTATGCATGGAGCCTCACCAAAGAGCATCTCGTACGGCATCAATCATTCAAGGCGGCGTACAGGTGTCCTATTGTATAGATAGATAGTGTGCTGGTTAGAGACACGGGGGCCAAGGACCACAACCGTTTGAATAAAGCTGTTCAAGAGGCCGTTCAACTGCCGTTCAGCTGGCCATTTGCCTGTTGTACACGCAGATGCCTCCGGATGTGTGTGTATATACCCCATTGCATGGCAAGCAGTCCGTCTTTTCTGCTCATTTTGTTTGCAGTCGAAAGTCCTTGACTAGATATGTTCGTATACACCTTCATTATCCAGCACCACTACATTGGATGGCTATCTTGGAGTACAGAAGGTTCTAAGCCCTAGATATCGGTAGCTTTCACTCGAAAGAACTACCTACATGGGTGGACATATGACTTTGGTGCTGCCTCACAGCTCCATGGCAGTGCATGGCAATGGCGAGTTGCGCGCCACATGTGTGGTTGGTTGGCTGGTCATTTGAGACCCAAACATGATATTTAAATATACAATAGGAGGGCTGTATACTGCACTGTCATTAGAAATAGTAGTCCAGCATCACTAACTTTGTGAATATGAGATAACCGTGCGGACTGCAAGTTTATAGGATTCACCGATATCCTGAGAATCATTTGGCGACAACGTCATACAAAGCATAGTAGGATTAGTTGATGCAAGTGGCTGCACAAACGGTAGGCAAGCGGCCAGCTGAACGGAAGTTGAACGGCCTCTTGAACGGCTTTGTTTAAACGGCTGTGGTCCTTGCCCCCCTGAGAATTCCTACTAAGAAGGAGGGCAACGAGCTTGAAATTACAGAGTCTCGGCAAGCTAACACTCTGCGACATTGACAGACAGAACGATTGTGATCATGAGATTTACAACATTGTGACCAGGCAAGCCCGGGAACAGCAATTAGTATGGGAAATTACCGGGGTTTATAACCTGTCAAGCATAGCATACACACGGTGGTATAAGCTCACATAGACTCACTTGGATAGATGGATACAGTGGTAACCAGGTGGAAGTTGGAAGCGAGTGACCTTTACGTAGCATTGCAGAGACAGCAGATATATACAGTCGAATCTCTCGTAGTGCATACAGCCAGTTCCCGGTCGCACTTATGCACAATGAGATGTATGCATGGCCGGATTTAGTCGGTCGTGAGAAAAATCATGTGAGGGGGGCCCAGGCCCCTTTTTTTCAAGGAACGAAAAGTCTTGTATTATATTCTATACACTAGTTCTATGTAAAGTACATAGTAAGTGTTGTCTGGCGGGCAGAAGCAGACTGTACTCTACGAAAATGCCCTCGTAATTTACGGAGCTGTGCCTGCAGCCCCAAGACATCAACCCCGCTCGCATCTGCATGCAAGATGCTGACCCTCTTGAGCATCTCGCACATCGCCTGCAACTCTGTCAGACCCGGATGATCCTGCATGGGATCATTGTCCTCGTCCTTGTCTCCATTCACATCGTCGACACCTGGGACGAAGGGCTGGCCAGCCAGGCTAGCTGCGACTGCTTGTTTCGCAGCAACGATGATGCCGGCCTCATCCTCGGGCTGAGGGAATGGCGAATTGGAAGGACTGACCTCAGCCTCCTCGGGGTTCTCGAGATACTCATCGATTGTCAGCGGCTCCCCATGCAGGCGATTGCGCGAGTGCAAGGCCCCGAGGGCATCAAGGAGCTGAGACTCAACTGCGTCTCGCTCGCGCGACAGCGCTAGACGCGTGGGCATGACAGGGACAGGTGTAGACAACGACACGGCGGCAGCAGTCGTAAAACCACACCGCTTGATCTCGAGGGCCTTCAAGGCCTCGCTGGTGCCATTGTCGGGCTTGTTGGCAATGCCGAAGGTGGCTGCCCAATCCTCGTATTGGTACTTGTTGCTGAGGATGGATTCGACCCGTTGCATGAGCTCCGGCAATAGCCAGGAGCAATCAGCCACCGGGAACTAATGAATGAGGTGCCACACCTGTGTGAGGAGGTCGTCAAAAGAAGATGTCGGGACAGAGGGAGGGGGAAGGGTTGGAGGCGTGGAGTTGGAGGCGTGGAGTTGGTCGCTGGTGTGGTCGCAGTCGTAGTCGTAGTCGTAGAAGGTGCGTTTGCAGGCGCAAATTCCGATCTGCATGAAAATTTTATAAATTGAGAACAACAGATAAATATGTGCTGCACACCTGTAGATCGCCGTATGGCGCCAGCAGTTATGGATGGTCTCCGGGTTCACCTTTTCCCAAGCCTTCTTAGCAAGCAGCATTCCTTCCAGAAGGTCCATTTTGAAGATGTTGTCGTTACCGGCCTCGTCACTATCGAGAGTGCGCATGCATTGCTCGAAGTGATAGAAAGCCTTCTAGTTGCAAATAGTGCCTGCGTCAAGTGGCTAAACAAAAGAGGTCATGTTCGGTTCAAAAAATTCAATCCGTATGTTCATCAGCTTATATGGGATGTCATGCCCCGAGAAGTTGTCTAACAGGACGAGGGCATGACCATTCTGGCTACAAAATTGTAGATCCAGGCTCCGAATATATCTGCATAGACGATAAGATTGGTGCACCCAACGTGGAAAAAAGACACACACTCGTCAAACAATTTGCCGGTCATCCACGCCTTCTGGTTGTTCCAATAATGAAGATCGTAGTGGCGAGCAGATTTCTTCTGGAAACAGCAAGGAGCTTTCAAATGTCCAATAAAAAATGGCTCGAAGTGCTTCTCGCCATCCCGACTGACCAAGAAGCCAACCGTGATTCACTTCTTGTTCATCTTTTGGCCAGCCATCGCCTTTGTCGCGAACCCCCGATCAGGTGCTGCACTTCAAAGCCATTAGCAAAGGATTGGCAATCCGAGCAACTCGAATTGACATACAAAAGCCACAGTCCACTCTCATCAAAGTTGAGGGTGTCGCGAGCTGAGAACTGAGCTAAGATCCCGTCAAGACGTTTACGCTCTGTTTCGACTGCCTCCAAGTTCATGCTGCCTGCCTTGCCATGTCGGTGATGTTCCTTCAAGCTGTACCTGATGGAGAAAATGAGATTGATGCAGGTGAAACAAAGTTCAGGCTACGTACGCAGCAGTGAACTTTGAGAGCCAGCCCTTACTGGTCATGCGCTCCTCAGGAGGCATGTCAAAAAGTTCCTCAAAACGAGATCACTTCGCTACGAGCATAGCGCCACTGGGGGTCTTGCCGCGCGCCTCCATGCTTTGGTGCCACAGCCAGAGCGCGTGCTCGACGTCAGGGCACATCACAATGTGTGCGCGTCTTGTGTCGCGCGCATTTGCCGTGGCCTCGAGTCGAGTGGCAAGTCTTGCTCTTCCCTTCACTAATGCATTGCGGGAGAGCAACGACTGATCAAAGAGCAGGGCCCCTTCCAGACGGGTGGCAAAGTGTGCCACAACCTTGGGCTGTGTGGCTCCGGGGTTCTTGTCGATGTAATCAAGAACATCAAGCCAGTCGCCAAGGGTGAGCGCTTCACGTTTGTCCGCCTTGTTCGTAGGAGACTTGGCAGAGGTTTTGTGTGAGGTAGCAGGTTTAGGCCCAGCCCTGTTCTTGCGATCATAGGGCTTGGGCTTTCCGCGTGCAGGGCAACACGGCAGTTGTGAAGTCGTAGACACGGGTGTTGCGGTGTCCGGTGCTGGGCCAGCCATAATTAAATGTGGAAAGGATTTGAGCGAGGAAAATAGTGAGGGAGTTTCTTGATGGATAAAATACTACATTTTATATCCTCTACGGACTCGCATACACTAGTTGTGCTAGATGACAAAAGGATACTATTATCTTGAGTGGTCTCGGAACAAAGTGCCCACGATCCGTTGTTCCAATCAAGCTGCTCCCGCCTCTCCCGGGTCGGAATCCGGCTGTTTCCAGTGCATAAAGGTGTGCATAGGCTATGCATTATGCGAAACGGGGTACCGTGCATAAAATACCGCTCCCCGGCCTTGTTCTCGGGGTGTGGCCATGCATAATGAGGTTTATGCATGGCGGGAGCATGCACTACGAGAGATTTGACTGTATGTAGAGGAGCTGGGAGCCTAGCGCAATAGTATATTAAATACAGATAAGCCATTAGTAGGGCTGGAGGTACTGAGAAAGGAAACAAGAAATAATCATATGTTCAACATGCAATAGAGCATGTGCTTACTTTACTAAACACACTGCTCAATAGGGCATATAAAAGATTGTTGGTAAACCTATGTAGGCTTAGATTGAGTAGTAAAAATATCATGATAACACAATTTCCAAGAGTAGAAAAAGGTCAGGGATGACTCGTTCCTGCCAGCTGAGTGGCCTACTTCTACGAGTACATCTTTCGGAGATTTTCTCTCGACAGCCTCTCGTGCTCCGGACTACATGAAGCCTTACATGGAGTCGAGCCAAGCATATATTGCCCATGCATGTCTAGACAAGTTGGAGTCTGATCAACTTCGCTTCAATCTCTCGCACATCGCACATTGTCACATCTTACCTCCCAGATAGCATGCAAGTCCTTTCAGGCATCTCGGATGACTTGTGCTATGCATGCCTGCACTGGTCATATCACATAGAGAATGCTTATCTCGGAGAGAACCATGACAATGAACTTCTGACCCGGCTTCAAGACGTATTATGTGGCCCGAAATTTCTTTTCTGGTTGGAGGCACTCAGCGCAAAGGGGCGACTACGACAAGCTGAGGATAATCTGCAGGTGCTGCAGAATCTTCTGCTCACGCATATATTACCCCAGCTTGCATCATTCATACCCGATGCAATGATCTTTGTACGTGAACACTATCGTGCCATTGGAACAAGTATTCCCCACATTTATCTGTCTGCCCTTGCCTCTTGCCCCGAGACATTTGCTGTTCGCAGTCAGTGTTCCCATGCATTTCCTAGTCTCGCGAGATATGTTGCGCAACCTACGGTTCTCCAATACACTTCCTTTCGGGTATCGCCTCTGTCTATGGCTCTTTCAAGCAATACAATCGCATTAGGATTCCCTGATGGCGAATTTTGCACGCATGACATCGATGCTGGCGATAGTACTAACAACTCTCGCTATTTGAGGACTTTGGAGAAGAACCCAATCACATCTTTGTCATTGTCGACAGATGGTACACTCATTGCAGTGGGAACTCATCAGAGTATGGTCTACATTTGGCATATACAAACGCGACAAAAGCTGGCTTCCTTCGAGCACACTGGATACATAGAGTTGCTACAGTTTTCATCGGATAGTCTTGTTTTGGCTTCAAGCTCGTCCGCATGCACAACACGTCTTTGGAGTGGACAAGATGGTGTACAGACACGCTCTGTTCTTCGTCACGAACATACCGTGAACTCCATGGCATTCTCGCCTGACGGTCAACTATTGGTCACTCGGACATACTCCCACTATGGGCATCGCCCCGAGGCGTCTATGATATCTTTGCACAAAGTACACGCCAGTTCTGCGCAACTCTGGTCTGCAGCACATGACCATTTATGTACAGACACTGCTAATCCGGTGGCCTTTTCGCCCGATGGAGAGACGATCATATCCGCGACACATGACATGCACGTCTGTGTTTGGGATCTTACGGGAAGCTTGATATCTCAAGTGAACATATTCTCCGGCGCGGTTGCAAAATTCTGTATATCACCAGATTTCACCCGAATAGCCTTTGTGACCCGCGACGGCGTCATGACTGTCAAGGATCTAGGTCAGCTGTCACACCTGTCTGAATGGACTTCGACCCCGAGAATCATTAAAAAGCTCGAAAACATTGTACAGTCGATGACATTCTCGCTTGACAGTCGGAAACTGGCTGTCTGCCGTCAAAGTCATGTTCGGATCTGGAACTTGGAACCCGATGCAGAGGACTCAGAGGAACATCCGGCGCATAATACGTCGAACCGCTGCCTGTCAGAATCGCGCACATCCATCCATCTCATTTTAAGAGACGATCGGTTTAGTATATCGCTCGTCGCTTCATCGATGTCATCGTCCGAAAGATTTGTATTTGACGAGGACAGTGGCTGGATCGAAGATACGTGCTTGATTGAAGATACGTCCTGCCATCCTCCTCGCCGCCTCGTCTTCTGGATCCCACCAGAGATGCGGAAGCGCGAGTCATTCCGCCCCCCGCGGCAGGAATGCATGATAGCCGAGCATAGCATCCTTCGTCTTGATTTCGATCCTTTGTTCCACGGTCTGAACTGGACTAGATGTTATCAGCCCGGTGATCGAGGCCCGGACGTTTCGTCGTAGGATAGACCTACTACCCATGCAATTAAATAAGTAGCGAGAGGCATTGACTTCAGGCGGGTCCTAGAACCTAGACACAACGTAACCGAGAGCGATGGAGGTGAGATGAGCGCAATCGCACATTCGCGGTGCATTCAAATGAATTCAGAGAAGAGGGGGGCACGCAGTTTGTCCGAGCGTGAGATGTCGGAAAGTGGATCGAACGGCGGGCGTACTCGAGCTTGATCATCAGATGTTAGCGGCGCGCGCGCCCGGTCCCTGACGTGGACTTAATCCAGAGAGCGGACCGAGAAGACGACAGGGGGCCAGTCAGCCGGATCGCCAACGTTTGCGGATCAATGGATATGAGACTCAGCTGGAACACGCTTATACATGCTAGATAAGATAATCGCGGACTCTACCTGATCATGCGCAGTACCTGCCTGGTTCACTCGGGAGAGGAGTAATCATGAGGACAGATATATCGAAAACAACAGACAGCATATAGAAGACAACAGACAGCATAAGACAAACACAGTGACACACGCGAGTTATACATGTATGCAATATTTAGCTGGTCATGGTTACGGGATCCCGGGAAGTGAGAATAACAGTATCTGTTCCTGCACGGGCGATGTACTCGATCTCGATGTCGTTGAGATTGCCGTCCACCGGACGCGTGGTAAGAGTAATGGACTGGGAATATGTATATCGCATGAGCAAGTGTAGGGGGTTGCCAATCATGGTGTGAACTCACTGAGTACGAGAACATCGCCCAACTATCTTTGGAATGAGGATCGCGGAGATTGTATCGTGCGACGGTTGCTATGTGAGGAATGAGCCTACTAGCTTGCTCGATCATCGTAAGCCTGTACCACGGCATGAAGATGTCAGACGTCGATGGAAGATACTAAGCAAGGGCGAAGGGGCTCACCGCCGAACTTGTCCAGGGGTATTGTCCGGCAGCCTGTCTCGTAGCGTACGCATCTTGCCGCCAAAACCAACAGTAAGGGAGACCGGAGTGGCGAGGATCTGGACTAGAAACTCCTTCTCTTGACCGTCGGCGCCGATGTACCGGCCGCGAGCTTTGGGGAAGTAGATGGATGGAGTGTCGTTGTTCATGGCGGATTCGGATGGGTGAACGTCTGGCGCACTCGAAAGCTCCAGCGGTGGCATGCTATATACCCTTCAGGGTGAGGTCCGGGTCGGAGTTCTAATCTGCAACAGTATCACAGCGTGGCAGTGGAGCGAGCCCCGTATGAGATGGACGTGGGTCTGGCATGCCACGCGCAAGGAGGGGGCTTTCGTAAACACCGACATGCCTACAGAAGTATCGGCCGCCATGAGCTTTCAGTCCAGCGCACGCTGTATCAAAACGCACTTCTGGTGAGAACAGCTCTCGGAAATGAGAGACAGCCTTCACCGTGAAACCCGATATAGGGAGTACTCAGCTCGTGGCGAGACCAGCACGGCGAGCCGTTTCGCATACTAGTCAGTCGGTGTCTTCATACACCAGCTGTATTCACCATTGAACATCATTAAACTAGGGACAAGGCGTAAGTGATCAATCACAACATGTTTCATTACGTGAGACACAGCAGCGGATTATATGCAGGGGACAGCGTGTAGGGCATCAAAGCAGATCAACATGACAAGCGTGGGAGCACAGGGCAGAGCGAGACCAGAGAATGACAGTGAAACTCAAGAAAAGTACAGTTGGATTGAGAGAAAGGACAAGACCAGGCGTGGAACCATACATCAAATGGCCATGCTGGACGCGAAGGAAGTGGGTCCGATAGTATGATGATCGCAGTAGCCTCACGGTCGCCATTTAGGTGAATAGACGTATGGCGATCTGGATGGCCGACGTCAGCGAGTATGTCGAGGGAAGCAGTGCGGGAGACATGAGCCGCTTACCGGTTGCCCATCAATATTAAATCGTGGTCCAACATCTGAGTGTGTAGCACTTGCATGCCTTGTTCGACGAAACAGATCATCTGAGCGATGCCCTGCGCCGCATCCCAATATATGTGAGCGCGAGAGATCTCGCCCGCCTTCGCCAACTTCGTGCCGCGCTCGTTCTCTCGCCCCCTCAAGTCATGCAGGAAACCCACTATGATCTTCCTCATGTCATGCCCATCCCATTCATCGCCGGCCAGATGAGCCCATTCGTAGGTGTTGTTCGAGTGCTTCATCAGAGTGCCCAGAAACGCCGTGATCTCGTCAAGAACGCGATTCGAATATCGTATGCTAGCTTGAAACCGCTCAAGATCTTCGATAGAGTCTATGGCGGTGTCCGACTCTGAACCCAACAGAGGGACGAAGAGGGGTTGCCGTCGTGGGCGTAGATTAGGGCTGGCAGTGGCACCGTCAAGAAGACTAGCGCGAGGTGGTTGAAGCGCCTGTTCACTGATACTAGGGAGAGGACCCGCAGGTGGCGACTGCAAACGCGGGCTGGAAGTGATAGGGGGGAGATGTGGCTTGAAGCCGTAGTGACATTTATGAGTTTGAGACCGATGAGGGGTTTCACCTAGATGAACTAGTGATTAGCCAGTAAGTCCGACTAGTGCGCGACGTGGCGTACCACGGAGAACTTGCAAGGTAGGTAAGTGAGGCGAAGGAACGGCGAACATGCTGGTCAAAGGTCAACCACGGGCGCGACGCTATCATATACCCGGCGCGTGAGATCTACTTGCCTGATATGGTCCTCATCCGTGTCCAACAAGCGGACCTTAGAGCTTCAAGGGTCAGTCGGTCAAGCTCCTAGACTCTGCAAGCGCCTACGCAGTTTAATGAGACGGAAGCCTAACACACCTGCCCGTCCGTGCGTGTCCGGTGTGGAATGCATGACGTCGAAGAAGCCGGCGTGACTTGATCCGAGAACAGTGCAAAGTACGAGTTTTTGGAGGTACACACCGCACGGCAAAGTATATAGATATGACAATGCTAAGCAGTTTCGTTACAATACAATGTAATACTCGATGCAAGCGCAGTGTATACAGGCCATCATCGCGAAACTGTACGCGAGAATATGATACGAAGCCGAGAAATTGTGCAAAGGTCGTGGAGGACTATCGTAAGGATCGTAGTAGAGAGTCTGAAATCAAGAAGAATATGGTCGGAGCGCATAAGAAACAGAGCAAACATAACGCGCGTACATAGGAAGAGTTTACATAAATAGGATGACGTTGCATACGGGAGATAGGATGTTAAGCGATCATATGGGAGCAAGGGGGCGAGAAGCTGTCTATAGGTAAGGACACGAGTGATTTCAGAGCAGAGGTTCATCAAAGCCAGAAGTGGCTTTTGACGCCTGCGGGACGACCTGGGGATTCGTAGCGCGGTCAAGTGAGAGTGCGAGATCGGTTTCGACACCATCGGTCAGAGCGCCATCATAATCGCGGATGGGCTCGGACGAAAACCATGGGAGCTCGTCGTCAAGCACAATGACACCATGAATATTGAAGCCGGCAGTCTTGCGGACGTTCTTGGAGATCGCCGTCTTCGGTGTCGTCTTGTAGAAGCCCAGCGTGAACAAAACGGCACAGATCATATTGGTCTCAACAAGAGTTTCGTCGATATCGTCGAGCTCGGTCCACTGACCCAACTTGAAAGGATCGCGACCGTCTTTAGCGGGAACTGAGTCCTTGTTGAGTACAGGCAAATAACAGAACACCGTAAAGCTCACCGGGAGTATCATGATTCAAGACCGGACGCCAGCTACTCCGGTCATCTCCATCCCTCACTTCGGAATTGGGTAAGTATAACTGCGATACGGCAATGGCATAGCAAGCTCACGGTCGAATTGTCCAGTCGTGAAACTGATCCCCTTTCGGTAAGTGTTTAGGTAGATATACCCTTCGCCGCTCATTCGACGCAGAACAGCGAATGCGCGCGAGAGCTTGAAGTTGAAGGGCGCTAGGCATAACTGACGACCACGCTTAGGAGTCGTGTAGTCTCCGAGTCCATTGTGAGTGACAATCCCGAAGAGAACGAAGGTTGCAATCCGTGGGTCGTCACGATCGAAGGTCGTCACGTAGCGCGGCAGTCCGTTATACAAATGAGCCTCCGCCGACGCAAGGCCCACCGCGTTGGAATGAGAGCCTGGATGTTCAATCAATCCGCGCATACGCCTATTGTGATGAAGATTAACAACTTAAATCTCGAGAGAGGCGTCAACGACAGCGATGCTCACACGGCGACATCATCACGACCATCGCAAACTGCGTCGAGGTCTGCGACTTGTATAATGCCAGGGTGGCCACCAGCATGTAGAGTGACAACGAGGCAGGCTCTGGAGGAATGTGTCAGCATATAGTGGACTGGAAAAGCTTGCAGAAAATATTCACTGAAGAGGTTTATTGAGTACGGGTTTGGCGCCTCCCGCACCACGAGCGGCTATTGTAAGCGGCCGGCGTGCTGATTGCGGCCTTCCGATAGCGGGCCTTCCATTCGCCGGCGAAGAAGAAGAGGAAGCGGCTGGGGCAGAGGTAGTGGATTGAACAGATGCAGCAGTTTGAGCAGCGGCAGCAGCTTGAGGAGAAGCAGAGGCTTGACCAGGAGCCGCACCACTGGAAGGTGACTCGGCGTGGGCAGGAGTTGCAGCGCGGTTTGGCGTCGAAGCGCGGGCTGGAGTCGGAGCGCGGGCAGGAGTCGGAGCGCGGGCAGGAGTCGGGGCGGGGGGAGGAGTCCTTGCGCGCTCGGGAGCGGAAGTAGTCATGTTATTTTCGACAGCTTGTGCGTTCGTTGCGGATGAGAGGTCATTGGTGTCTTCTCTGTAGCGTGTTGAACATGAGTAATTAGGACAGTGAATGAAAAAGGTAAGATACGCACTTCTCAGTCGAATGACTTGCAGATGCCGAGTTGTCTTCGCGTTCAATCATCATCCTACTTATACCGATTAGTAGCGCAGTAAAAGCATGGACGGTCTCACGTACGAATCGCCAGCGGGTTCTTCTGAGTCCGACGAATTCGTCTCTGGAATACTCAGGTCGGAAAGGCGTGAGGAAGGAGAAGACGCGTTGTCGGAGGAGGAAGAAGACTCGAGTGCGGATCGCTCGAGATTTGGTGCGACGAGACTTGCGGGCGTTGGCAGCGGGAGCAGCTTCATCCTCAGGAGCAGTGCGTTTCCTTGGAGGCATGACCTACAACTTCGTTAGAGAGCAAGTATTTATAAATGACAAGTTCGGAGAACCCCGCATCGACAGATAGTTCTCAGGCGAGACCGCCGCTCTGCTTTCAGTATGAGCGGATACAGCCATGCAGACCAAAGAACGTCATTGACGTTCAGGGTTCAGCACATAATAGACTGCGGTGCCACGAATGCTCGGTGGCTATGGTCTCAGAGGCAAATCAACTGCCGCGACAGGCGCTTAAGCACCGAATTTGCGCAGGGACATCATACGCTCCACGGAGAAGGTGCGGAGATAAACGACGCGGCTACATTTCACGATGAAGGATGGCGTACACGCCTGAGGCTGCCTAGATCCGGATGTCACGCTGAGATTTGACTGGTCGAGTAAGCCACGGAGCAGCCGTACGGAACAAAGCATGGGACATGTGGCAAGAACATGGAGGTCAGAGGGAACGACGATCTCACCTCGGGAAATCAGACCTCATCGGAGCGCAAACAGGGGCAAACACGTGCATGTTCGCGCAGTCTTCTGCGTTACGCGTCATCGCGAAGCTTCTTCAACGTGCATCATTGTCCAGCGAAGCGGTTGACTTCGAACGTCAACCTAGGCATAGCCCTTGTCCTAGCTCCGTCCTTGGCTGCGACTCGACACCCATGAAGACTCCGATCACTCCCTGCATTTAAATTCAGCGAAGGCGACGCCTACAGGATCCAGCTTCATTCTCATGTACACTCGCAGTCGCGGTCGAGCGTCATTCAACAACGGGTTCAATCCTAGAGAGGCAAGTCGGGAGCCGTCATGCTCCTTTTACACCCATGTATCCGCCGGAACTGACGCCTACCATAGACCGATACCCACATACAGGCCCTTCACATACCCACACATGGGGATGCTCGCGTCACCAGCGTCCCCGTCACTCATTTTGCAATCGACTCCGGCCTATCTATGCCGAACTGGTCGCGCTTCATCGCTGGAGCCGTCAGCACTCGCGGCATACAGACTGAGCATGCGACTTATGTCGTATATACTCCCGCTGATCTGACCGGCTATCCTGTCTCCGAGACTCTGTTCGAGGAAGCGGATCTTCTGAGACGTGGTCCAATGGTCGTGTTCCAAAAGGCTCGGCGCTCTCGTTTGCTGGTCAACATGAGTCCTAGTAACTTTCGCACGAGGCGCTTGATTTTTGAGAAGTTGGCAGAGTGCGTAACAGTTCATTGACCGCGTGCCAAGCTAATGTACACGCAACTAGATTGTTCGATATCTTGGATGATATTTTGGACGGTTGATTCTCCACTCGCTTATCGCGCAGCTGTGCCGCGCCGGTTGATCCTCTCTTCGCGGAACTCACTCTCGTCTGTACTACGTTCTCGAGAGAACCGTGTGTTTCCCTCATGCACCGTCACTCCATGATATTCGACTGTTACTTCTTTATTATGTTGCTATGATCCTCCCCCGCCTTTGCCAATAAAAGTCGCTGCTATTCTTCACCATTGAGCATCAATCACCCACATGGTCAGACCACGCGAACCCTCCCCGTCCGACACCGCTGCAACTCGTCTGAAAGACATGATGCTTCGCGAGGAGATTCGTTTGTCACCCTTACATTAAGCCGCCCTGGTCTCGGACTGAGTATTTTCTTCAGTACAGGAATATCGCGATCAGCTGGCGAAGTTCAAGAAGCTCGACGACGAGTCAACCGACCACCGTGTTGCCCGAGATATGGCCAAGTTCTCCGACATGACCGCGTGCCAATCCCTACGGATCTGCACGCCGTCCGCGCCGGACGGGTCTTTATTCTACGGCGTTGAGACCGGTTCAGGCCCAGTCGAATTACTCTTCTATGATATCTGCTTTGTCAAGAGCAGCTTCCTACCGCCGCTCCCTGAAAGTATGTCGCTCACTTCACCTCTCCCCGATACTACGCTGACAACGCCGGTTATAGGACAGTACAAATCCCCCGGAACGCTCTATCATTCGGTTTCGCTTGTGGCACCTCCGGGCGAACGCCGCATGAGTGAAGTAGCATCGGCACTCGAAAATCTGTACCTGCGCATGAGCACGTCATCGGCATCCCGCAACTTCGCCGAATTCTCTATTCGTCCATGGATCACAGACGATACCCATGGAGAATTACGCGAACTGTTCTTGACAAGCCGCGCTTTCACTCATACCGAAGATATAAAAGCTGGACGTGTCAAGTCGAAGGCTTGTGTTATACCCGCTGAGCTCGACTCGAACGGATGTCTCCACCGCCTCATCGATGCCAGCAAAGGTTCGTTGTGCTTCACGTCCGATAATATGTTCCGCGTATGCGACCTCACTGTCTCACCCGACTCCCCGCGGTATGCCTGTACTCCCATTACTCTGCATGTCTCTTCCTCATCGAAACAATACCCAGCGCAGCACAGTTCCCCAGTCCGGATGTGGTGGTGGCTGGACAACTAGTCTACGTCACGTACTCCCTTCGGGGAAGCGTTGCTAAGCCCGCAGTGACCAAAGGAAGAAGAGCAGCGAAGAGCTCGTGGCATTACACCTTCAAACCGACGCTTAGATCTCTGTTCATACTCTCCAAGAGTGGGCCAGTGGTTAGTCCGCCATATCGAACGATGGTTCCATTGCGCTGATTCAACGAGACAGGTCATGAAGAGAAGTGCGTTGTATAAAGCCCCTGTCGTGTTAGAAGCAGGTCGCATGGAAGAGACGCTGCCGGATCCCGACGAAAGCGATGTGGATCGCGACCTCAAAAGACTACGAATGGACCCGCCTCGATAGTTCTCTTGAATTTACCCTAATCTATTTTCTCCTTGTCTTCGAGCTTAATTCTATGTGATGCTATTGGCATCCAATTATGTTTTTTCTACCGCAAAGCATGTTTTATTCCCAGTACTTTTGTTAACCTATACCATGACTTGTGCATAATCGCCGCGGGCGTCTACCGGGTCCACATGACATGCGCGGGTCAAGATCGCGTTGCCAATGAATGATCGTCTGCATCGTCCAATCGTCCAACGCGTGAGGAAGGGAGGTTACGAAACAACAGGTCCCTGATTAAGACATTGCCATATAACCCATGCTCGCGAACGCGGCTCACGGCATACGTATCAACCGCTATGCGTCTAACCAAGCTTGGCCGTCTCCCGCTCGAATCAAATCGCTGCGGCTCTGCATCGACTCGAGCGTAGAACCCATGATATCAAAACACACAGTATCAGGAATGACTGCAAGTACAGATTTCATAGCGCATCAGACAAATATATAATAGCCGCTATCGAGGACGTGCCAACTTCTCCACCGTGTGTACAAGCACGACGAAAAGTTCGTGACAACTGACGTCAGTATACCATTAGCGTGACATGTCCACATCATAGCGAGTATACGCACAAGGGCACGGTGCTCTAGTAGGCAGTGAGCACATTGACGACGACAGGAAAGTCCCGACCCGCTGCCGGATTGTAACTCTCCGACACGTTATCGCGTAGCGCTCGAGCATATGCATCGCTCGAGCATATACTATATCCGAAGAGATACCCGCCCTATTGCCTAGCATTAGTTATAGAACCCACTATGAATAGATCATCATACGCACGTAGCCTACGTTCACAATGGCCAACTCCACAGTGAATATAGCGACCGTGTCATCATGGCTTCTATAGGCAGGGTCGCCTTCAGCGGAGGGGGGTAGCCCTTGTGGGTCATTGAAAACCTTCAGCAGGTGCACTGGAGTCATCGTGGATGGAGCGCGTAGATGCATGGCGACGGGGAACCTCTCGGGACTGAACGTTTCGGACACCTCTCCATTTTCGACGGCAGACATGTAGTCGCACACATTGGGTGCCGGTGTACCTATGAATACACCTTGCTACGCGTATAAGTTAGTGACAACCCTCTCGCATGCGTCAATACAGCACGCACGTCACCCCTATGAACCACCACCAATTCCGCGGCATGAATTGCGATTCCTTCTGCCTCGTTCTTGTACGCAGCGCCAAACGTTGCGCTATGAGGAAGACCGTTTGGGTCACTGAACACCGTGAGCATGAGCATGTCGGTCGACGAATGAGAAACTATGATGATGGGGAGAACCAAGCAGGAAGCCTGGGCAGACGCACCTTAAATACAGCGTCATCTCGGCAGCACCCGGAACTGATCGCCGGATCTCATGCTCGAACGTGGCTAAGGAACCTGTATAGCATAGATCAGTTTGTAAGCTCTTCTCCCGTTCAAGTATCGTAGCATAGACGATATCATGTTCCAGTCAGAGACACCGGATACATTCTCGCGAAAGGCGTGCCCGTTCCCAGAAGCGCCGTCGTAGGCCCACCAACTACCATCGTATGAGAACCTAGCAGTGAAGTGAGCGAAACCATGGTAGATTACGCCACGTAGTACGTACCGAGAGTTTCCCGCCGCTACAGGTAGATCCAGATGCGGACTAATATGTAGGGCTTCCAGATCCTCGTAGCAAGTATTGAAACAAAGTATTGCCGGAGGACGGGCAATATAGGCACGTATGAAAGCCCTACGGTCGCAGGAAAGACGATGCGAGAGAGAAGTATGGTCAGATAGAGCAGTTTGGAGGCAACGCAGGACGTACTCATCCAAACGCACAGGTGAGGCTGCGTTGACCTGAATACCCGGCCGAGAGATGACTATGAGAGGGAAAACCCGCCGCTCTGCAAAATCCGCTGGCGTCGGGTAGAACTGACAGGTTGCATCCTCACATGATATGGAAGGTAGCAGGTCTGGTTCCCAGTCAAATTGTGAGTACAATGTAAAGTTGAGTAGCTTGTCTACGTACACCTCATGTTCGCCCTCGCGCGGAAAGACGATAGGCTGCGATGATGATATCAAGTTGCGCCAGATCTCGCGAGCTTCATCAAAGGCACGCCCCGCACAACTACTGTGAGTACAGTCTGCCTGACACGGTATACGGAGTGCTTGAGATCGAGAGAGCGAATCCAAAAGATGTCCCAAGAAGGAGCCTTGAGTGAACAGGTCGCGCCATGCATCGGACGCCTCGAATAGAACATGGAATAAAACCATCAAGACAGAGTCATAGGCACACGTATAGTTCGAGGTCCATAGACATCCAGGGAGGCGCGTCCGAGGTGTGGAAACAAGAGAGTCGCCACCAAGTTGTCGAAGGTCAGAGTTGGAGAGTGAACCGTGGGCAGCAGTCACTTGATCCGTTGATCCGGACACGGTTGTTGCCGAGAGCGGGTCCGCGTTCTCCAGCGCGCACGTCACTTTCTTCTTTGACTTCCGTGGCGGTAGTTTGGATCGGTGACGATTAGAATTATTTGCGCCGCGGTCTACTCTAGGGCGCTTTCCACTTCTAGGCTTCGTCTCGTCTGAACCTCTCTTACCGAGAACTTTCGCTGAAGGCACCTTCGGCTTGTAGCTCGCTTCCAAGGTCTCAGCCACGGTCGGCTCTTTCTCAAGAGTTTCCACGTCTCCTGCTTGAAACCCGTGAGATACCAGGGTATTGTGTGCCATGGTCGAAAGCTTGTTTAAATGAGTCTGCAGGCCCGGTGGCAGAGGCTTGTTGAGCGTCGAGAGCGTGACTGGTCGCATAAGTGCCAGATCTGTTCGGCGCTGCACTCTGGAGATACCGACATACGGCGCGAATCCCCATTTGTCAGTCTCATCTTTGAAGTCGACCAGCACTTTGGGCATCGTCTTACCTTCGGCCGAGTGCGAGGTAATCGCGAATGCCGGTTGAAGCGGTAACTGGCTTCTTGTTACCGACACCATCCCGGACTTCATTCTATCCGCAGACCGTGCGACTGCTGAGAACGTCGACGTAACAGGCAATACAGGGACTACACCGGAAGGCAACCCTCTTAGATTTGCTTTGCACTTCTCGAACTTGACTAACGCGTACTTTGCGACTTCGTATGCCGATGCATCCATCTCGGTTTCGACAGCTACGACGATGCCTTGGCTGCCGTTTGCGATCCCAAGCTCCACTGCAAGGTTGCGTACCTTGTATATCACCGGCATACCCACATACAGCGGCAAGAATCCAGGTAGCATATCTTTCCGCCGCTTCCGATCCCCGGCAGGTTTCTCTAAATGGAGTAAGGTTGTGCGCTCTCCCTTGTGGCGATCTGAATCTGAAACAGGAATCTTATCTCGTGTATCACGAGCCGCGCAGAGATACAGTCTGCGCCCCGCCGCACGGGCTTCTATTGAAGACTTCGCCATGTTGATGGACTGTCTGACAAGATTGGTCCCCACCACGACACAAGCTTTGTCATTCCCATCCGTCGACATGTCGACGCCGCGTTCGTTCTCCGCAGAACGCATGACGCGTTCATTCAAGAAGTCAACATCAAACTGGGTACAATCTCTCGTGCGAACATGCCCGACAACTTCCGCGAATACAGGATCAGTTCGCATACGCATGTTTTCGGTGAGTTCTACGACATCCGTCAGTTGCGCCCAGACCATGCGCCCTATGCGCTGAGATATACCTATCTCACTATTCCTGTCATCAAAGTGTACTAATGGAGTGTATAGGGACACAGTACCGATTGGACCGTGCTGGAGGAAATCACCAGAGAAGACTGTTATGGCCCCACCGAAGAGTTCGTCCATCTTACCCTCTTTCGAGAATCTACTCACGTACTCTATCTCTCCGAGGGTCTCACAACCAAGCATGGATACCTCATCGATGGCCTGTACATCGATATCCTTGTGCTCCATGCGGATCGCTTCCTTCACAAAAACGCTTACACAGTCTTTACTCTTTACAGTCGAATCGTCAGACGAACGACAAACCTGGAGGCCGTAACCTTTGTGAAGTGTGACACCTCCGATATTGATGGCAGCCGACCCTGTTGGAGCATAGAAGGTGAGTCGATCGCCACAATCGAAATATTCCATGACATCCTTAACTGCACCCAGACAATGCGTCTTGCCCGTACCTCCCGGACCCAAGAGTAGGATTCGCAGTGGACATGGCTTAAGCCATGGTAAGTCCGGGAATGCTCCAGGGTCTTGTCGGACCATCCATTGACGTGCGATAACTAGGAATCCGATGCGTTGAGCATCATTTAGGTGATTGTGCACGGCTACCGCATCCAGTAGCTGCGTAGCAGTCCGATAGAGTGTGAGCGCCAGATCTGATCCCGGATCCATCACAGGATCTTCGCTGAACTCGGGTTCAGTAAGCCCGTTTGAGAGAATACTATCCACGACAGCTCGAGGTAAGATCTGTGCTTTATGTTGTCTACGTCGGCAACACATAATAACGTGCTGATCTTCGGCCCCTCGCAGGGATGCTACCTTCTGCGATATCGCAGCAGGCGTTTGGAGTGCGAGATTGCTTCGATTACGCCGCGCCACTTTGATTGCGCCATCTTGTTCCTTGATTTCCTTAGGCCATCGCCGCATGTCAATGTCAGATGCACGATACGTCGAGAGATCGGTCGTATGCAGCGCATCGCAAGACTCTACGAGATCATTGTCTAGCATACTGATATCAGAGTCAATGTCATCGACTGAGCGCAACCATCCGGCAACTAATAAGCAGAGAAGGGCCTCTTGAACGTTTTTGTCCCTCGTTCGAGTGAATTGTTGACCGACTATCTGGAGAGAGACGTCCCCTTCGCTTGAGAATGCAGCTGTGGCATCGTCAATGACAGCTGCAAGCGCAAGCGAAGTGTCTTCCAGCCGTTTGTTCTTCGACATATACTGTCTGTCTCTCTCATCTTTGCACTCATGGATGGCATCCAGGTTACGAATGATCAATCGCGTCCACCGACCGAAAGGGTATGTCTCATAAACAGTCTGTATGTCTTCTCCTTGCTCGAGGAGGGGCCTTCTCACAGAGAACGGTTTGAAGTGGGATAGCATGAACAGCCAATACGCTTCTTGAGACCCAGGAGTCGGGATGGGGCCGGCGAAGCGCGGCAAGTGATGATGCTCGCCAGGACCAAGACTGTGCAGATGTATTCGGTCCACTATGACATGCGAAGACGCCAACGGATGAGGCTCCACGATGCGATGTCTCCGCGGCGCAGATCGAGATGTGTTCTTTCTAGACGGCGAAGCAGTATCTGTTCCCTCAGATGAGCCCTCATTATCTTCTGTCTCCTCGGAATCGTCTTCTTTGGAGAAGATGGTGCGCTTCCGTGGTTTGATCTCCTCGACAGTGCAGAAACAGGCGAACTCCATGAAGCTCAGACTCTCCAAACTTGGTCCACGGTAGTAGTAATTCATGGCCTGGCTCGCATGCACAAGTTGCCCGTCTATGTCGACCGAGACCTCTATGGGTCCATCTGCATCGTCTTCGTCTATATCGTCATCGTCTTCCTTTTGCTCCTGTTGTGACGAGTCGGGCTGCATCTCATTAGATGGTGCTTTACTGGCCCGTTCATCTATCAGCCGTCGGGAATGATCTATAGTCTTCTTGAAAGCGCGCTGCACCAGATCCACGATGGCTCTTGATTGCACCACGTATGTTGGATGGGATTGCATCGTGTCTCCTTCTCCGAGAAGATACCGAGCACACTGCTGCGCGTGAACCGTCTGCTTGTGCGTCATTGCCCCGATGCATCTACTGAGTAAAGCTTTTGCCCGAGCGGCCTCCGGCATCTGAATGCGGTGGTCTATCTTCATGAGCGCTGAGTGGAACAGACCTAGAGTCTCAGGCATGCTAAGCTCCGATTTGGTAATGTAGCCCGCGATGTAGAACATCCCGGCCTTACCGCCCTTTCCAGACAGTATGTATTTCACATCGATGTTGTGGCGACAGGTTCCCAGTAGCCATTTGTTGTATGGATTGCACGTGGCATCCAGAACTTTGATGACAACTGAAAGGGTTTCACGGTCGAACTTGCTTTCTTCTGCTATCTCGTGGGGGTAGTGAAAGCGGCATTGCTCAGACCCGTACTTGAAGCACACAGGCTTGCATTCGTGCCTTTGCAAGTTCTCGCCGCAATAAACGAGATCGGGCTGGAAGACATCCCTTAGCCATGTATCGATCTCTTCCTCCGACGCGTCAGACGATGGAGGCCAATGAGGAAGCTCTTGGCGCGGATCCGCTTTGGGATCGAGTAGCGCAGGAGGCACTTCGGCATCTGGAAGCTCGTATGACACGATGCTTTCGAGGTATTGGAAGAACCTTTCTTCGAACTCCGGGGACTCAGTCAAGCGCTTGTGTATCTCGGATGGATTGAGTCCACCGAGAAGCCATAGCAAGAAGTGACCATGAAGCGCCCCTCGGTTGGTGTATTCCGCCGTGCCGTACCAGCCCGATAGCGGTCCAAGGATGCCAGGGAACTCTTCAGCGCGTCTTTCAGCGAAGTCCCACCCGAATAGCGCAGAGAATATCGATCTGATCATGAAGTCGAAGAACCGGGCAGCCATGACCGGATTATCTGCGAGACGAACCGCCCGTTCTCTATTTGTGCCTATGACAGGAACCCGGGTATCGAAGTTGAAGGTGCGATCACCACACATGAACTGGAAGACGGGGCTATGCATTGCGTTCACGTTGAGAGTGATGAAGAGATGCGGGACTCCCAAGACGGCGGAGTAACCGCGTATCTCACTCTGAGCTCTATGTTTTGCTCCTTCCGACCCCGGAATACACGACGTGACAGATCTCACCTGGCGAAGCAGATGAAGTGCCTTCTGGACCTCGGGTGGAAGGTCGTGCCGAAATACACCCGCATTATGTTCGAAGAAGCTTACCGCGTGCAAGACAGACTCAGGTGATATGGACAGCAGATCGCGCGCAACACTATCGTAACTACGTCGAGACACCGTAATCTTGGAGTGAAGGTGAGCTAGACGGCGCGAGATCATGTTCCAAGTGACGAAAGAGAACGAATTGTGGGTTTGTACGTCTTGTATGGATGATTCCATGAGTGCACGTATGTGTGCAGCAAGAGAAAGCGCCCGCCTGCGATCGGGATCCTCTATCAACCCAATACCGTAGGGAAAGAGGAGAGGAAACATGCCTGCCAGTAGCTTAGGGTTCGCGTACTCCTTCTCAGGTTGAGACGTGAGCAAGTAGACGAGCTTCGCCGTGTTCTCGTTGTCTGATTGCTTGTACAGCTTTCGGAATGCATCGCGCGCCAATATGCGGCCAGGCTGAGCTCGGAGGTTTGGATCGGTTACTCCGAACTTCTCCATGACCATATCCTGCATGTGCCCACCTGGTGGACCATGCGAAGGATCTGGTTCAACTAGGGTCGGATGCTCATGAAATCCAGCAACGGCATTCTTACGCATCGAACGAATAGCATCAGCGTTGCAGTTGAGAACGAATGTCTCCTTCAGGAGCCCAGGTATCATATCATGCTCAGGGTATTCGTCTAGAATGTTGTGATCGAGAGTGATCTTCTCATACAGAGGATTCACCTTCTGCGACCAAAGAAGAAATCCCCAGACTACCGGTTTGCGTATCCTCAGGATAGGCATCATGTAAGTCGACTTCAACTCTCCGCTACCAATGAAAGACACCGTGATGAGATCTCGCATATTGGCCGGGGTACGAGGGAGCACACTAGCAGAATCAAGAACTCCATTGTCACACGCACAAGTATTACCCGACATCACCCGGGGTTGGCATTCTACATCCTTCAGCTCATCATCCAAGCCGCAATAAAGTCGAGTAACCATATTCCATGTTCTGAATAGGGCGCACGCGAGTTCTTCCACCCATGTCATCCCGCGGAACTCATCCGGGAGACGCCCACGATAAACACCATTTGCAAGAGCATATTGTGGTAAGGAACCTCTCTTCAGACTTGAATGGCATTGCTTGCACAACCACAACGATACGTCGGATCCATTCTGAACAACGCCCTCTCGACAGAGCAATAAGCCGTCCAAGGTACTGTGACCCATGGAAGCATCGCCAGACAACTCCATCGCTCGACGGATCTGTGTATTCAATGGACGAATACCCTCTAGAGACTCTCGTGGCAATCCTCGAGTACCAATCTCGATGAGAGCAAGGTTTTTAAAGATCACGCGACTGCATACCGCACAAGGAGGAGGCGCACAACCTGAAATGGCGCCTTTCCATCGTCTCATGGCTTCCTGACCGGTCGCCTGACCTATAGGCTTGTAAGTGCGTACATCATGGGGTTCGGTATATTCTGCGGGGGAAACTGTATCTTCGCATAAGTCCAGTTCAAGAACTTCAAGAGGCCTCAGGGGAACCACATCCTGTTGCCGATTTCGCTTCGGAGGTGTAGTTTCCGACCTCATCTGCATGACAACGTTGGTTCCGAACTCGTGAACAATGATCATAAACGAAAGATCGGAAGAAGAACTTGATACGTTCAGGGCTGCCTCAATATCGTACGGTATCAGGACTGAACGCATGTCGGCGTCTGCTGTGGTGCCGAGAAGGTGCAATCGGAGAGATATAGAGCGATAGATAGCTCTTGCAAGCTGAACCTTCGATGCCTTTCTCCCTGTGAACGTTCGCTCATCGTCATTCGTAAGCGGCCAGCGACGAGTGAAATGAATGCCCTGACAGACACACCCAAGGTGCGAAAGGCCAAGGAGCGAGATCCGGAGAATACAGCCCTCCGCAGAGAACGACGTCATGAAAGAAGGCAACTGTTTACCGACAGTATCAAGACCAACACTTGCAGAGACCGATGGAGCACAGTGCATAACCTTCATGAAAGAAGGACCGAATACGCAATCCATCAACTTCCGCAGGAGAATCCAGCGGTGCGCCGGCGAATGGTGCTCGCCGCGACATTGCAGTTCGGAAGCGATCACGACGCTCGGCATATCAGAGAACTGCGCGCGTTTCGCAAGATACAGGTTCAACACCGAGAAACGCGCGCTCTGCATCGAAGATAGAATGGGAACACGAAGAAGTCCGCATGTTTTCCTTACGAGCTCATCCGTGACCATCTCAGCGAACGTACCAGCAACGAACGATACGTCATAGCGCATCCAGGGCGGATTTTCGGTCTCTTCTTGACCTCCAAGAGTTGGATATATACGCAGAGCGCGTGCAATAGGACAATAGGAAGGGGTAGGTATGGACGATTGAGACTGCACAGAAAGGTTTGTGGGATCTAGGGTAGAATTAGTCCAACCACCGACAATACAGTCGGAAAAGAATACGCACCTAGTTCAAGGTTGACCATTTAGTCGAGTATGGGTTTGGATAAGGGGGCGAAATTTGGTAAGGGGGCGAATTTGGGTGCGTTGATTATGGGCAAGCACGGCGCGCCGGGCTTATATCGCGCACAGTAAATTGCTGCCGCGCCTTTCGGAGCATAGCACTGCCAAATTTGAACCACGATGGGAGCCATTGACTCGAAGCATAGAATGAATACGTTGCGAAGCAAGCGGCGTGGTGGAGAAAGCGCAACAGAAGAGAACTACGCTGACGGAGGCCCGCCATCAAGACTCGATCACATGACTTCTTTCGAAAGACGCGCATATGAGCCCCGACGAGACCGGCTTGTTTCTCTTTGACATCTTCTGCGCCTTTTCCCGCTGATGATATATAAGCAAAGGCAATATATTCTAAGAATCGCAGCTAGGATCGCGTAGTGCATGGGCATGAGCATCACAGAGACGGGTATGTACATTCTAAGCAAAAAGAGTGCGTATTCAAACCAGGAGGCGCACATCCCAATCCGCGTTAGCGGTCCCCGTAACCCACTGGAGATGATACGGCGTCAGTTCGAGTGTCAGCAGGTCGAGAGTCATGACGGCTCACGGTGTACAACCAAATGCGACGCTCATCGAGGACGCAGAAGGTGAGCGGGCTTAGCGGGTACGTCGCCACTTGCCGGTGGGGCAACGTGCAAACAATGTCCTCCATAAACACCGGGTGTAACTCGTTGTCGACCATAAGGCCAGTACGGCGAGTGACCGTCCGCTCCAGACGTCTTATCTCCGGGATATCGCGCCAAGTGCCAGTAGGCACCATGGCGGAAGAAACGCCGGTGATGTCGATTGGCGTCGTCATATCCATCGGTTGCACCAAGCGAGGATTGTAGTCCGTGAGGATGAGACAGTCACTCGGAATCGGTTGCGCTAGCGAACGATGACGGCGGACGGCCTCGCGTATGAGAGGATGCTCGGTGTTTTGAAGTTCGACCGTCCGAGTACCGACCACGGCAAGCGTATAGTCGCAGTAGTTGAGGTTGCGGTGAACGGAGACCGGAACCCGAAAGAACCAACGATCCGACGTCATGAGGCGATGTGGCTCGATACACGAGAAAATCCACGTCCCGACGCCGCGAACTTGGTCGAGAGTTGTCGGGCGGAGGAATGCGGGCGAGTTGACCAATGCGAGAACATCCCGAAGGGGAACAACGATTGAGTAGATGTGGCCAGGTTGGACTTGACCGTCTACAGACGTGGCGATCGAGGAGACTAGAAGACTGTCCCGACTATCGGAGCGAACAGTCGGCGCCAAGATGTTATGCTGCCTCGCCCGTAGGGTCTCGTAGAACGTGTCAATTCCGGAGAGTCCTTCGTGTACGCGCGCGGCACCGGAAGACACAACGATGTGGTGGCCGTTCACCTCAGTGTGACCACTGATGTCCGGCAGGAAGAAGCGCGCCACGACAAAAGCCTGAAGAGGACCGGACGTGCTAGCCTTCATAAGGTAGCAGTGACCTTCCAGCGTCGCGACCATGAACTCTCCGCGCCTCACCCAAGCGACGTCAGAGATCCTCTCATCTCGGATCGTGATGATGATCTATCATGATGGAGTTAGTGCCTTGCGATACACGAGGATAGCAAGAAGCGATGTAGCGTACCTGTTGTACCTCATCCGCATCCCACTCGGTCCAGTCAACAAGGGACAAGTACGTTCCGACGAAGTCGTCGGTATTCGCCACCAAGACTAACGCCTGTTGTCCAGACATGAGAAGCCTTGACGTGAGTTGCTCCGGATCAATGTCCGTGGGAAAGCCGACAAGAACCGGAGTAGGTAGTATCGAGTAGGCGTGGATCCCGCCGAGATCCATATCCTTGAACTCGTAGAAGAATGTGACGCTGTAAGCTTGACGGTAAGCAATCGTTGAGAGCGATGATCAACGCAATACGCACTTAGGCCGATGACCTTGCCTGTATAAAACGCCAATCACGTTGTGGATGGGCTCGACAGCAAGCGCGATGACCTTGTCCGCTCTGACAGGGAACGACCAGCGGTACATCTGGGCATAGAACGGACTCCTGCGAGCGTCTGGTGCGTAGTGGATGTCGAGGTACGTGATGCCGTCGACTATGTTGAGAGCAGACTGGCACGCATGAACGAGGACGCCATCGGTAACCGTAAAGCACTTGGTCGGGTCGTTGACGTTGCCTATACGGCGACAGGTGTCCTCGATGTACCGCAAGCAGTGCTCGGACTCGCGTATGTAGGTGACTTCGTCGCGAGTGAGAGTCAAAGCAACCGATGACGGTACGAGCATCGTGATCGGGCCTGGTTGCGGCGCCAGCGGCGGTAAGCGAACCAAACGATAGCCGTGTACCGAAAGACAGCGGGCGCTGATGGCGGCAAAGTTGCTGTAGAGGCTGGCATTAAGCCACCGACATGTCTGAAAGAACCCAGGTCAGCGTGAGTGCGGGTACGCTGCGAGAAGCGCGAGGAAGACGCACCCTGGCAACGTTGAAGAGGTCGCGAAGGCACAGAAAAGAGTAGAAGCGAAAAATGATCTCGATGGGAAGGTCCTCGAGGAACTTGGACTCGACGCGCGGATGCTCTCCTCCGTCAAGAGCGCTGTGGTGAAGGCTGAACGGGAGGAGAGACATGGGGAAAACACCGCGATCACCCATGGCAAGTTATAGATGGCGCCTGATACCGTTGCTGTGGAAAAAAGGAAGTTATGTTGGAAAAGCTGTTTGAAGTAATAAGACGGTGAGCATACAGCACGTACACGGAAATAGAGGATAATCGGCACTCACCGGATCGACATGATGAGTAGATGTTGGATGCCCCTAAACAAAACAGAACGATCAACAACCTTAACGCACGCGTAGGCTGCGGATCCAAGTCGCCGCCGTCACTGCAAACAGACCCGAGTCGATGACGAGGTCACCGCCATGCGTCCAGAAGAAGGATCGCGGAGCAACATCGTGGCAGACGATGTTGAGAAAGTTGCATTCAATGCCGCATGGCGCAGAACCGACGAATTCCGAGAGTAAAATGAAAGATAGGGGGAGCGTTAGGGGCACTCAGGCTGAGCGTTCAACCAACAGGTCGCCGCCAAAACGCGTGTATCATGCCCGCCCGGTGCGATGCGCTAGAACGAGTGGTCGCCGTTCGCAATGCAATGATCGGACCGGTGTCGCAGGACACTGGTATCCTGCTGGGAGTGGAGCGACACCGAAAGATATATTAAAAAGATCACCGAGTCGCCGGCATTCAAGCTGGATTCACCCTCGAATGCAGCTGCCTTGCAGATACTCGACAAAATCGTAGCGTATACCCTGTACCTCTATGACGACGTGCCTGCTCCACACAGGGTTGCGACCGCCGGACCTTGCGAACATCGTGCTGTAGATCCGGCGTACAGTCAGACGGTGTCGCGCGCGAAGCAGAGTCAGTACATTACCTTTTCCTTATTCGAGCGCTCCCGACCACATATGTCGTTCATCCACGCTCGCTGGTCTGCTCATTCGAGAACTGGCAGGTCACCTCCTCGCCCGCATAGCGCCATGACTCCGCCGACGCCACGACAGGCTGTTTATGCTTCTGACGGCGAGCTCATTGGCCACATGGCGGACGAGTACACCATTCGCCCCGCCAACCAGGTATACTCCGCATCGGCATTTTGCTGTTTCGGAACGCTAAACGTCGTCGCCCCTTCTAGGCAGCGACCATTCGCGTCAACGCCACTCGGTTCACGGCTCTCAGGACACGGGCGCGCAACGCCACACGCAATCGCGATGCCATCGTGGCTGAGCGCGACGCCTTGCAGGCTCAAGTGACGACATTGCAAACCGAGATCGCCAACCTACAGGGCGAAGTAGAAGCGCGTGAGGCCGAGAAGAGGGCTTGGGAGGATCAAAGGTCGAACTTACTTGGAGCCATTGAGCGCGCAGAAGAAGACGTACGCTGTTCCGTACAATGTCCGGCGCACGCACGCTGACATTGACCCGCAACTAGGCAACAGAAGTTACCGTCGCGATTACCGACAACGGGTTATGTCCTGTTTGCAGCGAGATCTGTAGGGAGCCATACGTGTGAGTCCAATATCTCATCAGAGGTACGCGACGCCACTCACTTCAAATTGCAGTGTTAGGGAATGCGGGCACACGTTTTGTGCCAGCTGCCTTGTCAACTGGTTAACTGTCGCGTACGACAAGGCGCGGGGTGCAGGCAACGTCCATATCGACCCCATGGTACCACCTATCCACGGAGAGCAGATGGTAGGATTGTCGGAAGAGGCTATTGAAAGTATTGGGGAGTTAGAGGATGAGCTGGAAGAGTATCGGGCGGAGTTCACTTGCCCTTACTGTCGCGCTTCGATTTGGCGGGCTCCGGTCAAGAACTTTGCCATTGCTGAGATAATTGAGCGCGCAAGGCCTGCGGTACATCTTGAGGGCGAGTTGACGCGGCAGAGAAACGAAGGCTTGATACGTACTTATTTCAACATGTCCGAAGACCTCTAGCCCGCACGTCCATGCACAACGGAACTGATCCAAACGCTCGTTGTTCCCCTATGATTATGATTATGATTATGATTAGTACATGTAGCGCACGTATTTTGCAATTACGCACATGATTATGCCACAAAACCCGGAAGTGTGGCGACGAGTGAGAGTACGTAGACGTGAATAGTGTACGTATCCGTGGCCACGCAAGAGCGCACCTGAACGCATCCACGTCCTATGGGCGCAATGTCAGGATACTCTTGAAAGAACAGAAGTACGGCGAACGCACAGAATCTTTGAGACCAGGCAGGAGCAGGGCCACTTTGAAGAGGAGATGTTCCTGTGATGAAGATGGTCGAGGTCATCGAGGTCAGAAGGGAAGAAGCATTCGCTGCGCGATTCCGCCGCGGCCACGTGTGTGGGAGAAAAACCGCGAGCCTCATGGCGGCACAGGAACGCGGCACAATCAGCGCGTTTGATGGGGTTCCGAGGCGCATCTATTGCCGGCATATGTCAGTCTATGTGTCGACTGCCGTCGAGTAAGAAAGTCGGATGCCACCGATCTCGTTGGTGTTTGTATATATATTATTGACAGATATAATCGTGGGCCACAAGAAACGGAAAGTGCGCCGAGGAGTACAGGATAAATATAATACTACAAGAAAGAACTCGAGCCAGACGAACAATAAGCCGACACATAGATACGCTCTGCAGAGATTGGGATACGGAAAATGGACTGTGGGCACCAGCGAGTGCTATAGGTCAAACGGGAGGCGGAGTCGCGGGCGTAGGGGACAGGGACGACGGCGTCGCAGGCGTAGAGGACGGGGATGGCGGCGTCGCGGGCGAAGGGGGCAGGGATGGTGGACACAGCCAGCGCAGCCATACGCAATGGTCGCTCCGATACTGAGGACCGCACCCAGGACATCCGTGCGTCACTACATGCCTCTGTAGCCAGTCGTGCGCATGCCAATACCACACCTGGACCTCCTGAAGTACGGTATTAGCACGATGACCACAGACAAACTTCGGACACGTACAGATTTCACGACGCCCACAAAGCCACGATCGCGATGACGGGAAATATAGAAGCGACGCCAGAACCGGCGAAAGGTTATAGCCAAGAACCGCGTCACTGCAGGAGACGGGTTGGTCCGCGTGCCACCATTGTCACGCAGGAGGATCTGAAAGCGAGGGAATCGAGCAGCTAGAAATAGCACTCGATCGGCGCGAATTCGCAGCCAGCGGTCCGGGGGAAGCGCGTGAAGGGTATATGGACGATACAAGGGCATAGAATCCGACACTGAGCGGCTCTGCGGAGTAGACGCAGGGGCATGGGATGCTGTAGACATACGTGACAGACTCGAGGATGGGAAGAAGATGGGGAGAGCACTCTAACGCTTGTATATATGTTATCGGTTAAGTACCGATGGGGCCGAGATCCGAGTTGTGGCACCGCCATCATGATCACAGCGCCTGGACCGCGTCGTATAGATCCGTACACGATAAGATCCTGTCGGCCACGTGTTGGCATAAACGGCCAGCACGTGGAGCAGCCTCTCACATTGTATGTATCCGATTAGCGACGCTAGCTACGCAGAGCGCTTGAAATGTACTTACCAAATGATACTCAAGACTCTAGCACGTACGAAAAGGTGAGAGTAGCTGCAAGGGAGCGCAGAGGCGTTACATCGACGCCGTGAGCGTCATCACCAAACCACTGTGTCGCGACAAAGTGGTTCGCCCGAGCTGCCCGTGCCCGAGCCGCGCCTCGGACTTGACGCGGCAATCTCGAGTCGAAATCGCCCCTAACAACCCCTAACACACATGGATCCACATGGAAAGCCGATTCTCGATCAGGTAGGACGATCCACACGCGGAAGATAGGGGCATATGACGCATAGGACAGATAGCACGTGTACTATAGATATATTTCATACATGACGAAAGCAGTACACGGCGCGAGAGGAGCAGTCACAATGAGAAGAAACTCTAAGTCGCGCGAGGCTCTTGCGCCGGGGGCAACGGGGCCATGAAACTGATAGTACTCGCCGTACTGTCAGTGTCCTCGTCGACGACGACTTCGATTCCCTATAGCTAAGATCGTCAGTCAGAATGAAGGGACCAAATCAGTGATGCACACGTACCGGAAGCTCAGGAAGGATGGGAACGATATCCTTGACAGCATCGCGCAGCGGCAGGCGCAATCTGGCGACCTTGAGGACTTCCGCCGTAGAGAGTGTAGGGTGCTCCTCGTGGACGTCGGCGATGTGACCGATCCAGTGGTACCAGAGGGTGTGCGCCTGTTGGATGGTCCGAGCCTTGAGTTGGTGCTGTCCAGAGTAACCGACGACGGCTTCGAACGCCGTACCGCTAGCGGCATTAGACCGTCAGAAAGTGACAAGTCACAAGTAAGGAGAAAACCGTACTACTTGTCAGTCACGCCGACTGAGCGCCCGACGAAGGTCACCCAGACTTTGCTGCCCCAGAAATTCTCCCGGCAGGCGGTTTCGAACAGCTGAAAGATGTGAGGAAGAGGGACCGTCCGGATGTCTTCGTGCCGGTCGCGCGCGCGAAAGATCTCGCGGCAGTGCGCGTGCCACAGAGGTTCTGAGGTAAGATAGTGTCAGAACGTCTACCAGAGTACGAGGAATACGGCGTAGCGCACCAATGAGATGGTAGGAGGGCATGGTGGGTAAGATTTGGTAGGTAAGGTTGAGAATGACCGAGTGCAGTTGGATGTTAGCTTCCCGGACGCGTTCAGCCTTTATACAGCCCACGAACCTCGGATACGGCAAGTACCGACGTTCGCGCAGGCCTCGGAATTGCAAGGGCTGTAATCTGATGTTCCGCGGATTGGCGACATCGAGCCCGAGTTGAAGAGCCCGTCCTGGCGTGCGTGCGCATGATGTAGCGCCAGAATGCAGTCTGGAACGGCACACGACAACCCTACTTGCTCGAGCAGAGGAATCTGCACCATCCTATGGGAAAAAACGTGTCAATACAGGTTGTCTTATTACAGCGTCGACGCACTCTGCAGGTTCGGTCAGAGACCGGAGCACCCTAGATCCGTCCACAATGAGTCCAGCATTAAGGAGTAGCCTTAGCTTGCTGCATACACACCGTAAGTATCAGACATAAGCACGCGAAGAGAGTGTGAGGAACACTCAGCCATTTCTGCCAGACGAGACGGTTTGGGCCCTGGACGACACTGAGGGAGAAAACGAAAAAAAACCGCCCCACCGGCGATCTTCATCGCCGACACGACTCCTAAGTGCTACAGACCGGACATGAATAGCATCAGACGCAAGCGCAAGAATATGGACAGCACATCAGGGCTGAGATCCGAAGTCGGGCACCCTAACTTTCCGATCGGCCTCAACGCAGGTAATATGCAAGTAGACCGCAACCGCGTGGCGCAGGGCAAGGTCGACAGGCGATCACCCGACCTCGACTCACGAGGGCATATCTTCATTATTTCAGCGGGGGTGCACAATAGAGACAAAGCAATACATGATATCCAGCTGGAAGGAAGAGACCGCGTACAGTATACATATATCGAGACGGTTCCATAACATACGATGAGCCCACGAAGACTGCACGCGATGGTGTGCAGAACATCACCCAGTGTATGAGTGCGACGGAGGGAGCCAGCGGAGGCGGACACGGCACCTCTCTCCGGTCCTGTTCTGGCATCCGTCACAACCCAGATCCTTCACATGTCTCTCCAACCAGTCGTACGCTTGCCAGTACCAAAGATCAATTTCCTATACAGCAAGGTAAGCGAAGTCGTACGCGTAAGATAAGGTATCGAAACGCACGGTCCGTAACTTCCTCTTGAGTATACGGTCACCGTGCACCCTGCCAACCATAGGCACGTAGAAGTGGCGCCAGAAGCGGTGGAATGTGACTGAGAGGAACCGACCCAATGCGGGAGATGGTTCGTCCTGCGTGCCGCCATTGTCCAGCAGCAAGAGCTGGAAGCGAGCGAAGCGCCGCGCGAGGAATAGGACCCGGTCTGAGCGGAACCGCGCCCAACAATCCGGAGGAAGAATGTGAGAGGAGCGGTGACAACGATGACTCCCAGCCAATCCATGGGGTAGAGATGGCATTGAGCGGACTGACATGGCGGGAGACGGCGAAGGAACGAAAGTGCTAAGATGATATGGGCAGAAGCCAAAGACGCTGGCGCCTGATTGATTGGATGATATAGCCACGTGTCGATGATATCGACCGGTCCGCGAGGCCCCGACGCGGCTTTCTCGCCTCCGCTTTTTTTCGTCTACGACCGACTCATCCTCGTACGAAGTTCCGTCCATGGGCTATGCCTGGGACAGTTGTAAAGTCCGTTAAAGCCGATTTAGAGCTGAGGGAGAACAAGCCATCCAATGAGAAGGCGTGAGAGACCGTGTGTGAATTTCTGGAGGGGGGGTGCCCTACCACCTCAACCCTTTCTTACTCACTTATGTTCGTTACGTCAGGGAACTCTCGACATTTGATGAGCGCTAACAATACTGCTCCCGCCGTTCATCATCCGTTTTGTCCCATACGCGGACTGTAAACGCGCAAAGATAAGGCCATGGCGAGAGGGGAAAGGGATGTGCCTATAAGAAAGATCGTTATATAGGGAATGGGAGGCAGCTGCTAAGAAGCATACGTGAACCATGTCAATGAGCGGGCGTGCTCGCATCCTGACCAGGGCGTGTGATTCGAATTCGTCCTTCGCACAGCCTGTGGGAGATGAACTAGGGGAGAAGCGATCGTGCCTCGCCCATAGAGGAACTGCACAGCACATCGTTAGCGCATACAATCAAGATTTCAAGCCACGTACGACGTACTTTAAAACACCGGCCCTTCTTTCTCGGCGAGATCATCGAGTTCAGCCTGCGCAAAAGTCGCGCGTCTGGGTTTACGGCCGACTGGGTCTCGTGTGGCTGAGGCTGAGACGAGGTAGCCAAGGGCGAAGAGGACACGTGGGGGTGTGGTGCGGACGCAGAGCGGTGGGCCGGCGGGCAGTCCAACCTATATGCGCGTGTATGAATACTACGTAGAAAATAAGATGCCACTGGGAGAAGTCGAACCTCAGCAACACCGTCTTGAAAAGCACTTACGCGCCCTGGTCCGTGTCATCGGCTCGGCCTGTGCGCCGTCCCAGTCCCGTCACCTATATGCGTATAGTACACCACAGCATAAACGAGCACATGCGCGGCGCACGCTGCCTCAAATGGATCTTCGAACTTCCCGAACGTCTCCGGGTTGGCGTTGATTTTGCTCTTGTCGTTGGCTGTGGATTGTAGCGAGGAGCCGCTGGCGGCAGTGTTTCCCGTGCTCGTCCTCCTCGGCGCTCCTGGCTTTGGACTCTCGGGGTAGGTCAAATCCAGCGCTTTCGCGTCCTTGACCGCGCTCTCCGCTTCTCTCCGTGGTCCGCGCGTGACGACGGTACCCGCTCTTAATACGCAGCATAACAGTGCAACATGCGCGTGCCTCTGGCCGCTCTTGTCCGCTAAGGCTCGCATGTTGCGTATAGCGTCCAAAGCAGCACGTAGCTCGCTCATCTCCTCCTCACATCTCAACCGGCACCAGCCGCGGCCATATGAACTTGCAATAGTAAAGCCTGCGTCTACATGTTCCGTCCGTTCTCGTTCTTCGGCACTAGGGAGAGGACCTCACTCAGTGCGCGGTCGGTGTTCTCCTCTTCGTCTGACCCTGCCGAGAGGAGGGGGAGGGATTAGATGGATAGTTCGGCTAGGGAGAGTCATGCTCGTAATTGAGCTTCCGTTGATATGCTAGAGGGAGACGAGAGGAGGTTGTGCAGTGCGGCCCGCGCGAGAGAGGCCGGCGGCGTGTTGAGTGTGCGTGGGTGGACGCGTCACGAGCGCTGGTACTGCCGATGGGAGAGGGTTCAGGTCGACATCCATCTTCTGATGCTTGGACGTGGGAGTGTCAGAGGCCGAGTCGTGCGCCCGCTTCATCGTCGCCGTCGTTGTGGTTTGGTTGGACAACAAGGAGGCGCGCTCGACCGCGAAACCAACAAGCGTGAGATTGGCGCGACGCGTCGCACGTGATCCCGTCGTGCCTAGAATGCGCTAAGCGCGCGGGCTCGCGGGCTTGCTTTTGGCGCTTACGGCTGTCCTTGCGCGCTCAGGCTGACGATTGCATCGTCCTAGTTGCTCGCACTCTCACCCGGTAGGAAAGAAACACATGTTCATATCGGGATCAGCCTATGCGTGCTTGTTCGACCAGACCCTAATCAAGATAGTTCTACACGCCGCCTGAGGAAGCCCAGTCAGATATCCCTCCTGCGAGCCTGATCAGGCAGAGTCATCTTCCGCCAGCATCATCTCTATATCGTCCGACGTGAAACGCAGTTCTCCGTTCAGGATGCTCTGGAAAGGATCAATGTAGAACTTGACGTTCTCCAGCGACAGTTTCCGGACATCCCATACCCGGACGAGGACGAATACGTCTTGAGGTGGCTCGATAGACGCACTGATGTGCATCCGTCTCGCCTGTAAAACACCCGCACGTCAGAAGATGAACTAGATTGCCCATGTTCGGCGAATTCGACTCACAATCTCCAGCTGCCGAGCCCTCAGATGAACAGACGTACCCGCCGCGCGAGGGCTTGACGTAGACTTGACCTCAAGGTAGATCCTCGGCCAGTTCCCGGAGCGTATGCACGGCCCAAGAAGCTCTGGCACGTCCTTGAACAGTTGTCGACCAAACCGCTCGGCCCACGCCCTGTTCTTGATCGTGAAGTCCCCGAAGACTTCGCCGTCCGGTATGTACTCAGGCTGGCCCGTCTTCCCACGGAGCTCGCTCGTCCAGCATTCCACGGCTGCTTCGCGTCCGATGATTCGAGACACTATCTCAAATACCTGGCAAGGATGATTAGCACGACGCTACGATTGTCCTTCACATCATACGCACCACAGTCTCGCCCAGAACACCGTTGACTTGCTGATATGAGGTGGGAGATGATCCTACAATGCCGCCCGAAGAACGCGGGGTGGCTTGCTTTGATGGCGACCGCTGTGTGGTGCTCGTCGTTATCCGAGACGATCCCTTCGCGGGTGAGCGGTGAGGTGTGCCCAGCGAAGAAGTCGGGGCCGAGACATGCGCCGTTGAGCGAGATCGATGGACGTCCAAGACGAGTCCAGTGTCAGGCGAGGGCGTGAAAGTCGCGCCGGAGAGGATCAACTGTGATGCCTGCGTCAGGAAGTCATTTGGCGCCTGTGATGGTGGGTTAGATCATCGCATCGTAAAGTTCAGTCCATCGCTCACATTTGCTCGTGAAGGGGCGAGGGATAAGGCCGACTGACGCGGCGACGTTAGTGAGAAGTTCGTAGGAGGCGGCGGTGGTATTGGTCGCAGAGGCTCCCTCACAGTGGATGAAACACCGTCACCGTATCGTGCTAGCCGCTCTTGGAGTTCAAGGCTTGGAAGCGGAGTGTGCACGATTGACAGTATGTCCCTTAACTGGATGGAAAGTTGACGCGCGATTTCACCGCAAAGACGGGCTTGGAGGTCCTCTTCGCGTCTCACGTCCGAGGTTCGCTGGAGCAAGTATATGTTCAGGTGAGGCCCGCGGGTGTGTGGCGGGAGGTTCTCGATCCAGACACTCTCTGTCTCGTGGACAGTTTCATTGCCCAGTGTCCACTTGACGTCGATGCGGTCGACGCGGAGGACAGTGACGGTCTTCAACTGGGACAGTATGCAAGACTGTTTTGTTGAAAGCTCGCGTTCGGGATGACGCCCGTTATCTGTGGCCGTACGTATGACCTCTCTACGTTCGTTTAGTAGAATCCCACTCTTCATAGCTGACAATACTCACTGCTCTATGAAACGGTACCTGAGCTGCAGGTTCTCTTGCAACTCCGAATCGATGTCGACGGGGTCGGACGCGGTATATTCAGCCCGGACGCAGTCGTCCAGCCGACGCACCAGACCAGAGCAAACAGAGGATGCCAGAAAGCGTGACAAGGTGCCTTCGTCGTTGGGAAATGCGGCCATCAGTGCCACATATCTCCTAAATGCTGCCGTAAAACGCGCATTACGACCGGCGACGTAGACATCGGCAAGGCGGTAAAGGCGGTTTGTGATGGTTTGCCCGCCGTCGTGAACCTCGGCTGGGAAGATTGCTACCGTTGAGATGAATTCGCGGAGGGTCGGGTCTGGGTTCGGCTCCTGTAAACTGGTAGTAAAGACGTCGTTCAGGAGCGCATGAACGGCCAATCGAGTGCGCTCGTCCAAGACTCGCCCGGCATAGTCCTCGCTGAGCCTTCGCAACTCGTCTATGACCTGGGTGGGAGATGTCTCGGGGATGCCGACACTTGCGAATAAGTCGGAGAGGGCGCTAGGGTAGAAGTTGCTAAGACTGGTGTAGAGGACTGAGGACTTGGGGCCCCTCCAGAGAAGGTCATCTTGAATACTCCGCCATCGCGCTTCCCTCCCGTTGCAGTCATCTGCAGGTATGAAGACCAACCGCTCACTAGCAAAAGCTTCCCTGACGACGAAGATAGTTCAGCATGCATGCATTATGCACTAGTAAACGTTGACATACCGTACACAATCTCCGAAAGTTGGATTGTTCCTTATCCGAGCATTTATCAATTCATAGTACTCCGTGATCTGTGCTAGCGGTACTGTCGTGTTGTTCGACTGCGACAGGAGAGTCAAAAGTCGCAGGGAGAGATCGGGGTCGAGGGTCGTGGAGACACCAAAGTCGGTTAAGAAGTCCCAGCGTGTGTTGTCCGGGGAGGTGACGGGGACAAATCGCAAGCCTATGTTCTCGTCTATGAGGCGAAGCTTTCCGCGTCGCAGACAGAGATCCTTGAAGCGAAACGGTCGCCCATGTCCAGCCTCCAGAGACACCCTCTGCACGGCGGACTTCCATTTGTCCTTGTTATCGGACCCTCGATAGAATCGGCGGAGTATGCGCAGAATACAGGAAAGTTGACGATCCCTGAACAGGGCAGGGATGTCGGCTCGGTCCGGCTCGGTGCGTATCTTGCCCACATCCACCAACCACTTCCGCCAGGTTGGAGGATCGTCACTGGACAGGTACGATGGTGTAATGAAGTGGGGTGGGCGATTGAGCCTGCTGAGTTCGTCTCGCAGACATTTGCCAGAATGACGGTGTGCTTCAGCAAGATAGACCTGCGAACCAAGAAGGGCCTCGCCAGTTTCAACCGCAAATCGGAGGCTGGAGACGTCCGGAGGCTGATCCTTGTTTCGAAGAGCGTAGAAAAAGCGCGCGTTGGAGACGTAGTCGGTTTCGCGAAGACCTTCTTGATTGCTCAGCAAAAGGGCAACAACGTGTTCCATCGTAAGATCGCAGACCCCCATCATCTTGAGTAAGCGACGCCTCTCAGGGTCAGATGCCGCATCGGTATGAACGATTGGGATACGAAGATGCGACGGAATTGAGGTGTCCTCGACAGGAAAGAACACGCCCCCCGTCATGGATGTCCACGTTCTCCCATCAGCCAGGGGAATGATCGGAAGGCACCTGATCCGAGCTCTCAGGAAGTCGTTTCGATCATAGATGTGGAGCAGTTGGGAAGCGGCTGCGCGGTGCCATCCTGGGGTTCGAGAGGGGAACTGATTCCGCCGAGACATCGCGCACAGCCCGTCGATGTAGTGTACGTCCCGCATCGCACGGAGCGAGAGCTGTTGCTGGAGAATAGCGATAGGATTTCCGGTGACATTCGAGTAGTCCGGGTGAAGGTATCGTCGACCACCAAGAAACTGGGAGGGAATTAAGGGCGATCCTCCAAAGCAGTACTGAGTGGGGAGGGCGAAAACCTGGGACGCCATTCTTGGCACCTGCATCTCATCCAGAACGACGCGCTTCCTTCGTAGTGCATCCACTGTGCGGTCCATCACGGGGCGGAAGAATGGGTCGATAACTTCGTTGGAAAGGTACAACGGCCAAGCGTATCTGAGAAGTGATTCGTGGGCAAGAAGCGCCTCGACAGCCTCGCTGACTCCAGATGAAATTTCGTCGCGAATACGGCGGTTCCAGTCCGGGTCTTGCAGTACTTCCCGGCGATTGGTTGTGGTCAAAAAGTCGCCATGCACGATGAACTGCACGTTTCCATTAGTTGAGATGTATGAAGCTAGAAAGTAACACACCGAGAGGCCCGCAGACTTCATAGGTTGGGATGCAAAGACTGGCTGGCGCGAGATGACTGGTGAGCCATCACTATTGACTGGGAATCCTATGACGACCTCAGTTGTCTCGATGCCACGACGCTTGGGCTCGTCGATATGTGCCATTCGTATAGACAAGCGATGCATGAGGCACGTAATGTTGGTGAGGGGGAGTCCGGCTTCATTGCAGTCGATGCGCACTGGGTCGAGTCCTATGGTTTGCGTGTCGCCACAGTGTCGTGTGTAACTGACCGAGAAAGACTCCGGAGAATTGCTTGTGCGGATCTCGATCTTGATTTCGCGAAGGCGTCGTAAGAAGAAAAGTGTGCTCGAACTGAAATCGCGCAGCTCTTTCGCCAAAGTTGATGCCGCTCCTGGCAATAGATCCATCGCGAACACCGTCTCCCCGTCAACGCTGGGGGCATCATCGTCCCATTCGGGACACACCATCCCAAGATGGTTTCGCCGATCGAACTTGACGCGGTACCCATTTGACGCAACGTGAACCACGTTCGCCACTTTGAACGAGGATTTGAATCCTGCGGCGGTGGTCGGAGACCGTCAAACCGACATCACTGTGGGACATACCTATGCCCTTTTCACCTATTTGCACAACATGTCAGCGTGTGTATTCGAGAGTCATACAGTAGGGTACGACATACCCGTGAGGCCGTCTGCCTTCCTCTCAGCCTTCCTACTCTCGTGTACAGAGCAGAGAGCCTTCATGTCTTCCTCACTGAAACCACCCTCGTTCGAGGATGTCACGAACGTTGTGTCTGTAAGACACATGCGCAATGTCGGCACAACATCTCGATGGTACGTATTATCGTCGGCATTCTGTACGTGCTCTTGGATTAGATGCCCGTCCTTGGGGTATAGGTCTTCGCAGGCTCTGAAACGTGCTATGAAGATGGGAAATACACTTTCTGACGACTATTGGTGTTACCGAGACAGCATCCTTTCGAGAGCAGAATGCGCTGTCGATATAGGATGCAGCAGCCAGTCGTCTCGTATAGATTGTATATGAGCTTGGGCCGACATCATGGTGGTTTGAGTGAGGCGGCGTCGGCGGTGTCACAAATCAACGCTATTCAAGACGCGCCGTCACGCGTCACGCGTTACCTCGTGAGGGCATGATCGAAGTACCACAGAGTACTACTAGTAATCCGCTTCCCCTTCAAGCTTCAGGCCCAGTGAGAACCCGGTCTATTCAAGGGCTTTACCAGGTCGATAGGTGTACAGGGTATCTAGCGAATATTCAAAATAAACAGTAGGCGATCTAATCTAGAGATGCTAGCAATGGTAGTAGTACACGAATGAGTCTGGGCTCTTTGATAATATGCAAGGGAAGGACGAGATAGCGCACTGCGCCGCGAATGACATGGCAGACATAAGAAATGCAGGGTATATGCAGCGGATAAGGTGAGAATGTATGTATGGGAGTCGGGAGTCGTGACAGCAAAGTCAAAGCAAGAGATGTATGGACAAATAGTACATATAGGTTAACGGAAGCGGCGATGGGACGCTCGAGATGTGGGAACCTACGCGTCAGAGACGCGCGGCGACTGCCAGACAAGGTTTGCATCGGCATCCCAAACGTGTGCTCCATGCTCCTTGTCGACGTATAGGACCTCTCCGGGAGCAAGGGCGCGCTGAGGTAGTGCCCACCATGGCGCGTACTTCTCCGTCTGCAAATGGGTGTACAGACCCTCGCGAAGCCAGGCGCGTTCGGACCCTTCTCCTTGTCCGGGGATATCAAAGTGAATGCGCTGCGCGGGCTCGAAGCGCTCAGTGACAGGACCATCAATGTCGCGGCGCATCACGTAGCGACGGCCATGACGACCGTTCCCTGGCACTTCTTGCGCGAGCGGAGAGTCGTAGGCGACCGCGTATTGCGGGTCAAACCAGACGAACGGCACCGAGCTCGCGTCCTGCCGCAATGTGATGGGTGCTTCGAGGCCTTCAGCGGTGAACGTGTGTTGTTGCTCGTTGTCCTGCGTTTCTCCGGGCATGGCGTGAGCAGCCAACGCGGCGTTGATTGCAGGCCGGGCGGAGACAAGTGTGGCCTCCTTCGGTGCGAGATCAGACGAGATGAGCGGAGTAGGAAGCGCGTGATCGTCCTCTACAGCAAACACACCGTCGAGTGTGCTGACATGGTGTCCTGCGTCCACCATCGCGTCGAAACGTAGGAAGCGAAGTCCGGTGCGCATGAAGAGCGCATGCGAGTACTCGCCCTCCTCGCACGCATCTCCGAACTCCGCAAACTCTTCGCCCACGAAGGCATTGTATGTCACAAGCGCTGGTACCGCTCGCTGGAAAGCGCGTGCGACGTCAGGAGAGCGACGGAAGGCCGTGAAGTGCCCGGGCATGTAGAGAAGCAGCGTGGACCAATTCGTGGGCCAGCCTGCGAGCATGACATCGAAAGAAGGCGCGAGATCCCACGGGAAGACCCGATCGAGGTTGCCCAGGATGACGTCGAGATCTGCCCATGCCCACAAGTCCACGCCTGACAGCATGTACTTCTCAAAGACCTCCGCGCGGAAGGGGCGGTAGAAGGAGTTGACCTGGGTTCAGGGTGAGCGAATGCATGGCGAAACACGGCATGAAAGGCGCTTACACGGTCCGCAGGTAATCTCCGCACCATGACCTCCCTCGCCATCTCGCGCATGCGAGCGTCGCATCCCCATTCGGCGCACAACCAGTCGATATGCAGGTCCCAGTATTCCTCCATGTCTACGCAGACTTCGCGCACGTTCGGGACGTGTGCGGCGCGGGGTACTTCGCAGTGTTCCGCACCGAGGCCATACTTGTCGAACTTGATGAGGAGGACGTCGAGGGACGGGTTGGCGCCAGCCGAGGCGAAGAAGTTGGGCAAATATGAGTCGTCGCGATCCTGGGGTGACCAGAGGACGATGAGGGTCATTCGAGGAATCTGCTTCGACGAGGCTGGTGGCTCTTCCTCAAGGTCTTGTGGCGGAGATGGGTCATCGTATGGAGCATCTTCCATCGCTGGTGCGGGCATCGCAGCCGGGAGCGTGTCAGATGGCAAATCGATGGCTGTTGTCTCAGATGACGACGGTTGAGGCGCGTTTGGTTGATTGTTCGATGCAGAACTGTCGAGCGAGTACGAGAGTACAGGTGAAGGTTGAGCGAGAGCGGTGGATTGTGGTCGTGAGCCTGAGTAAAAGTGCGGATGCTCATCGAGATTCGCTGAGTTCGGCGGCAAGGTGTTCATGTGCGCCGTCCAGAGAAATAGAGCAAGTGCCGCGCCACCGCATGTGAGTGTGAATGTTCGTGAGGACTTGATACGAAACATGATTGCCGGGTATTGTGCGACGGCGAGAGACTGTGGGCGAGTCGTGAAATACCAGGAGGCAGTTGAAAGGCGGAAAACTGTCAGACGAGCAAAGGAGCGTGGTGGGCAGAGGCAAGATATCTTCTATCGCCGAGGGAGGAGGTTGACAAGGGCTACGTTCGAGGGTTGTGCCCTCGTCTCCTACTCCACCCGCGTCTGCGCATCAATCCAACACACTGTTATGAAGGAAGTGGGGCCCCGGATACGTACGCAGCAGCTTGCATGAGGCTACGACTAGGCATCCCGCCGCAGGGAGCATGCTATCCTGCAGGCAGAATATATCTGTCAATATGCATTGGGAAGTTCATGAGCGTTCAAGGACAAGTTGCGGGCATTGGGCACCGGGCCCAACGTTGGCTTCGTTGCGAGACTCGTGGACGCTTGTCCATATTTGGACAGGGGCAACTCGTGTCGTCATGTCGGCGCTCCCTCCCGTCGGCTGCGCTCGGATGTTCGACGGTTGCCGACGCGTCCAGCCCAACTTCGACCAGGCTGTCATGATGAGTAGCCGTGCTATATACACATGCTCAAGCAATCCAGCAACAACAACTGCGTACTGCACTATCTTTGCTCCTGGCAGACTTACTGCGCGCAATCCTGTCTCTATCCATTGGAGTTGCCAAATAGTTGAGATAAAATGATACGGGCGTCTGTCGATGGGCAGATAGCTGGCGCCGATGCCCTCCGGTAGTCTGGTCTGAGGCATCGCCCTATGTCTGAACTCTCCGTACGCCTTTGATGGTTCCTCATGCTCACGTTTGACGTATACCTCTCCTTATCTCCAGCTCAAGATAGACCGTATCCTTCAATCATCAAGCGATCTGCTACAGTGCGTGTCCCGACGCCGCCGTTCAATGCTCATACATACTCACGCTCTATTCGACGTCTCCAGATTCTGTACTTGTCCTGATGATGCCCACCCGTCACTCCCGAACCGCAATTCACAGTCTAAGCTGGAAGGAGACGAAGACGCCGCCGGCTACTTCAAGTTGGCTCCTCCATGCTTTCGTTGACGGCGAGACGCGCGCTCCCATGTTCAGCTGCCCGTACAAGAGAGGTCCTTATGCTTGGCATACTCTATCGGAGTATATCGCGCTGGTTTAGCGGGGCACAAGACGTACGGCGCTTTTGTGTCGGACCGCATATTCCTATGTTGCCGTTGCCCGTAGCGAAACACGGTTGTCGATCTCGGTAGAGGATGCCGGCGCCGCACACTCCCGTGTCAATCCCTCATGTTGACACTGAGCATGCTTGGCCGATGCGCGCATGGAACTGATACGCGGTGGTGCTCGTGGGTGCCCATGTGTTCACATCCAACCCAGGGAAACTGAGCAGGAGTGGCACCTACGAGTCGGCAGACGCAGCCATCCGATCCGCATCCTTCCCTTCGAGACGAAGCCATCATCCCAGGTCTTCTTGGCTGCGCGCGCGATGGAACTCACAGCATGACTTTAATCAGACTCACCATCGTCATGCACAACTGAGTCCGGGGAGTATAAGAAGGTCTCGCAGACGACGATGGATCTTCGTTCTTCGCGGTCTGCCCAGGCCCTCTGTCATCAACGATGAAGCTTCTCCTTCAACTGTGCATCATTGCTCTCGCTCAGTCGGCATTTGCGGGCACCTTCACCCTGGCCGACAGTTACCAAGGGTCCGACTTTATCAACAAGTGGACGTTTCAGGCTATCTCGGACCCCACCCACGGCTACGTGAACTACGTCGACAAGTCTACGGCTGTCTCTCAAGGTCTCGTCTTCGCCTCCGGCAGCAACTTCACTCTGAAAGCGGACGACACGAATGTCGTCAGTTCAAGCGCTTCGGGGCGGAACTCGGTCCGCATCCAGTCTCCCAACTCGTACAACTCGCATGTCACGGTGTGAGCACATATGTCCTGTAATGCCTGAAAAGTGGTATCTGACGAGCATCAGAGTCAATCTCTCGCACATGCCCAAGGGCTGCGGCACCTGGCCGTCCATCTGGGAAGTAGGTCCGTATATTTTTCCTTCCTGCACCTGCGATCTTGTCCTGATATGGAGCCCAGGCCCCTCGTGGCCCAACAACGGGGAGGTCAGCGGTTATCATGTTCGAAGCACCTCGACGGCTGAACTGACTTGATTCGCGTCGCTCAGGTGGACATCATAGAAGGTGCGCAGTCTTGACTTCGCCGACTTCCATTCCCCAGCTGACTTCGATACGCAGGTACCAACGATATCGTAAGTTCTTCTTCAGCTTCTTTACGTCCGTACTTCGCACAATGCTGAGGGGTACGTGCTCGTGATTGTATAGGGTAAGTCTCCATTGAGGCCGTTGCTTCTGAAACATACCGAACTTGCGTCGTAGAGCCCAACAAGTCAACCTTGCACACGAGCTCCGGCTGCACTATCCCCAGTTCACCAGGTGGTATGCTCGGGTTGGTCCTGGTGCTTATCTACGTACCGCGCACATGCTCACTAAGTCCATAGGAAGGTAGTATCGACGAATTGCCAAAGTTCGGGAGGCGACAACACTGGCTGCGGCATCGAGTATTCAGTGGATAACAGCTACGGCCATAGCTTCAACGTCATTCAGGGCGGCTTCTACGCCAGCGAGCGCACCGCGACCGAAGTCAAGATCTGGCAAGTCAGCGTTTCTTCATACGCGATTTAGCCACTGACGCCTGAAGATCAGGTTCTGGCCCCGTACCGCGACCAACATCCCGAGCGATGTGAAGAGCGGATCCGGCACCATCAACACGAACAACTGGGGAACACCGCAGGCGTACTTCCCTGACACGAGCTGCGATATCGGCAGTCATTTCCACGACAACAACATCGTGATCAACTTGACCTTCTGTAAGTTCGTCGTATCTTATCTGAGAGGTATGCCCCCTGAGCGACGCATATAGGCGGAGACTACGCTGGTGCTACATATGCCAACTCGGGCTGCCCGAGCACATGCAACAGTGCGTCTCATGCTTCTCTCATCCGCTGCAATGATCATCTGACTACGGGAACAGGCTACGTCCAGAACAACCCATCTGCGATGACCAACGCCTACTTCAACATCATGTGGCTGAAGGTCTACGAGTACGTGCTCTTCCCTCCTTGAAACGAGATCTGGCTCAATTGACACTTCGAACAGGCCTCCCTCTCTACAGTTGGACGACGATAGCCAGGCTATATTCCAAGTTGATGACGCTCATCCGTCGGCTTGAGCGCTTGATGCGCAGAGGATTCGAGTCTCGTCTGTACCTGTTCCCCACTCACGACCTCTCATGAATACCACCACTGTATCCATAGTGTACCAATATCTTCACCGATGATCACCAGCAACTTTTATCATGATATAGCAAGGCTTTGAGTGCTCTCGTTACGGACTACAAGACACAACTTGGTCGCAGACATTCAATCAATCGCGGACGCGAACAACAAGCTTCACCCCACTAACGCCCTTCTCAAGCTCGTCGCATCCAGCCGGAATTGCAGCCAACCCACCCTCGAGTACCCGAATGTTCGTCGGCTTCAACTCGCCCCTCTCAATCATACCCGTCAAGTTCGCGTACATCTCCGTACCGAACGCCTTATGATCCTCTTCAGCGGCGCCTCCGTACACCCATACGACCCTACGGCCCTGCTCGTCGTCTTCCCCGCGTTTGCCGACTTGCGGGGTGAACACGGTGACCATGCCTCCACCGGGCGCGAGGACGGAGAAGGCAGCTTCGTTGGTGCCTCGTGCTGCGGCGTCGTAGACGAAGCTGACGGGGGTGTCGCCGACGATGGACTTGACGACACCGGGGAGCTGGTCGTAGGGCGTGGTCTTGTAGTCTATGACGTGCGTCGCGCCGGCGGCTTTGCAGTACGCCTCGTTGTGGCTAGAGGCGGTGGCGATGAGCGGGCCGAAGCCTGATGCTTTCAGGAGTTGCAGCGCTGCGCATGATTAGCCAAATCTACTTCACGAACGAGTCAAGATAGACGTACCGAATTGTCCAACGCAGCTCGCGCCGCTGATAACGAGTGCCGCCTGCCCGGCATACTTGCCCATCCCGCCCGGCGCCCAAGGCGGCGTAAGCCCCGCACCACCGCGATCAAAACCAGGGCCAGGACGAAGAGCGTTCTCCCTGGCCTTGTAGATGCCGATGGCGGCGGTGGCGAGGCAGAGCGGGATAGAGGAGGCTTGTTCGACGGTGATGTTCGAAGGGATGCGGGCCATGATGGCGGCATCGACGACGGTGTACTCTTGGAATGTCGAGCGGTCGCTGCCTTGGTGGGACTGGTAGAAGCTGTCGTGGATACATGTGAGCGTGGTACATTCGAAGAGTCTATGAGAGGACATTGCGTACACTTTGTCACCGATGTTCCATCCTTGCACGCCCTCGCCCAAAACACACACTTCGCCCGCTCCGTCGTGCCCAGTCACCGACGGGAGATCTTCATCCTTAATGAACATGCCGGTCTTCTGGACGTACCTGTACATAAACAGTCAGATAGGCTGACTCGGAGACAAACAATCTGAGGGCACATACATGTTGACGGGGTTGATCGCGACGGCGATGTTGTGAACAAGGACTTGACCAGCGCCTGGCTTGGGGACATGGCGCTTTCCAACCGTCATACGGGCGCCTTTGGCGGTGATGAGGAGAGCGTTTTGCTCTTCAGGGAGAGTTTGGGTAGACATGATCGCTGAGATGGGTTGTGCTGGCGACGTCGATTGAAAAGTGGTGGCGTTGGTTGCTGTACTTCCTGTCTGCCAGTCGTATTCATATACGAAGTGTACCAGAGGTCTGAGAGACGGTTGGCTCGCCGTGTATATCCTGTCGCATGTCAAATGCGGGCTGCGTCCCGTTACTGGAGAGCAAGCCGAGGTGCATTCAGAGGCGTCTGAATGCTGATTCAATAGCGGGAAAGCCGCGGTGCGCAACCCGTGGTGAGCCTAAGTCGTGAGGCCGGTATGACGAGTACTACAGTCCTCAAACATATCCAGGATCTATATTTGGCTGTACTTTATTGGTATCAGGTATTGAGCTCGCGCGACGCTCGCATGAAGCAACCCGAGACCCGGCGTCCATGGACCGTCTTGCTCATCATATTCCTGAATTAGAGGCATAGGCAGCCTGTGTTGATATAGATAAAGCCTTTCAAAGTGCACAGCAGAGTGTATTCGCATAGCTCGGGAGCACGGTCCTTCGGAATATACTGGTCAGATGAACGGCTGGGTGGTGGCAAGACGCAACACGCCTGCACGGGCCTCGAGGCTGGTTGAGAATATTCGGACCGCATCGGACCGCGCAGACGCGGCGTCTGCCTGGACTTAGGTCCTGTACCTCCAAGCTCAAGTCACTCTCAAGCTACTGAGATTCAACGTTCAGAAGACGCAAAGCGAGTAGGTTTCGCGAGGGTGATAGGCAGCGTCAACTCGTCGATCGCGGATCGCGGGCTTCGGGGGGCGCGAGAAGCTTCGGCCGAGGCTGCGAATTCGTAAGCCACACTCATCTTCTTGACCTCAGCAGTACTACGCGGGCCATCGTACGCCGCGACCCGCCACATATTTACCCAGAGTTCTAGTCTATGCAAGTTGCTCCAATCAACACTACGTCATTTGAATTTCAGACTTCAATAGTACACGGGCAGCAATACAGCGTATAAGTACAACCAAGCCGCAAGCCAACATCGAGCTCGAAGCACGTTCAATCAATCCGAACGACCAACTTCACCCCACTCACCCCCCTCTCAATCTCATCGCACCCCGCCGGCACAGCGCCCAACCCGCCTTCCAGCACCCTAACCTTGTTCGGCTTCAAAACCCCCTGCTCGACCATCCTCGTCAAAGACGCATACATATTCTCTCCGAGCTGCTGGTGGCATTCGGCGCCCGCGTCGCCGTAGACGCATATGATGCGCCGGCCTTGGGCGTCGGGCGGGCCTTGGGCGCCGACGTCCGGCTTGGTGACGGTCACCAAGCTCCCGCCCGGACCGAGTATCTCGAGCGCGAAGGCTTGCGTGCCGGAGGCGATGGAGTTGTAGATGATGCTTATGGGCGTGTCGGCTACGATGGATTTGACGGTTGTTGGGAGATCGGAGTAGGGCGTGGTCTTGTAGTCTATGACGTGTGTCGCGCCGGCGGCTTTGCAGTACTCTTCGTTGTGGGCTGAGGCGGTCGTTACGAGCGGGTTGAAACCTGATGCGTGGAGAAGTTGGAGCGCTGTATCGTAGAGTCCGTGAGCAATCTCACAAGATAGATTGTGGGAAGAGGAACGTACCGAACTGCCCAACCGAACTCGACCCACCAATCACCACCGCCGCTTTCCCCTCATACTTCCCCATCCCGCCCTCATCCCACGGCGGCGTGAGCCCCGCCCCGCCCATATCGTACCCCATAGCATGGATCTCATCCCTCTGCACTTGATACAGCCCGAGCGCGGCAGTGGCGAGCGCGAGGGGGATCGTAGAGGCTTGTTCGGGAGTTATGTTGGGTGGGATGAGGGCGATGCGGGAGGCGTTTGCGAGAGTGTATTGTTGGAAGGTTGTGTAGTCCGATTTGACGAGGGGGGCTTGGTAGAACCTATCGTGGCGTGCGTGTATTAGTTGTAGAGGTGATATGGTGAAGAAAACATGCACGTACACTTTGTCGCCGACATTCCAGCCTTGTACGCCTTCGCCGAGCGCGACAATCTCGCCTGCGCCGTCACATCCAATGACGAGAGGCAGATCCTCGTCCTTCACAAAGACACCCAACTTCTGAATGTACCTGCACAGATGATGTCCAGTCAGCTTTTGATGTTCAACAAGACCAACAAGGGCGAATACATGTCAGCCGGGTTAAGCGCCGCCGCGCTGTTTCGAACGAGGACTTCGCCCGCGCCGGGTTTGGGAACGCGACGCTTGCCCATGGTCATCCTTTCGCCCTTGGCGGTGATCAGGAGGGCGTCCTGCTGCTCGGGAAGGGACATCGGAGAAAGATTTCGTTGAAGGTAAGGATGAGATGCTCGACGCTGGGTTGGTGGTATAAATGTAAAGAGTGGGTGGAGACTAACCCGCGTGGACGGTATGTGAACCAATCTTCTTCCGAGGCTCTCTAGCTCAGGCGACTCATGTGCATACCGGAAAGCCATGCAGACCACGTCAGTCCTATGCGTAGATACGGGTTGAATGCCGCGCCAAGCATCACCAGAGACTGGATATGGGCATTGAAGCGCAGGGAGAGGAAGCAGCTACGGCGGGCCCTAACCCGTCGAGCGGGATTGCCGCGGCGCTGGGGCTCAGCGATATATCAGAACCTGGCGTTACGGAAATTGAGTACTGTATATGACCAGATCATCGAAGGTGGGGTGTTCATCGTGGTGAACGTCACGCGTCAACTCGAACTTGACTCCAAGATCGACAATCGGGACCGTCGAGGTTGATAACAACCCTGGGAAAGAAAGTCTGCTTTTGGCAACCAACGCGGCTCGGGCGCGGTGCGTCGTGTCTTGCGCGACCATGCACTCGCCTTTCACCTTCAACTACTTCGTCTCCTGCGACCTCGTTCTTCACAATCGATAGCTTTCTCCAAATGTCCTGCCTGAGGATCAAGTAGCACGCTACGTGCTCGTGCAGCCAGAACCCGGCCTGAGTGTACGGTGATCGCAATGTTGTATACAGCACCTCATGCGTCGGACGAACCTCATATATACTGGTTAACCTTGCCCTTCACTACGAGGATATCAAGCTTCGTTGGAAAGTTCGACCAGGCGACGCGCGTTTTGTGCTGTCCGTTCTTTCATCAGGGCGCGATTGCTCTATACACTAGTTATAGCCTTCTAACGTTGTGTCTCCTTGCTGGCGTATCCAAACTCTCAGAAGGTTTATCAGTAATGCGCACCATTCAAGTGGGATGGGTACCCGTCCGATAGCCCGTATGCGAGGCTCTTGATGGCATCATGACGCGTCTGGGCAAACGCCGGTCAGTCCGTGCCTATCAAGCTGGGCAAAGTACGCAGAGACAGTGGTGCGAGCAGACGCTCGTGCTTGTACTGAAACTCGGGCGCAAAGTACTTCTAGCTCCGCGTACACGACGAGGACGAAGGAAGTGGTATATCCTGTGATCCATCAAGAGAGCTCGACATCGACGTGCTCGAACAGGCGCGAACATGCGTGGAATGGGTGGCGATGAGACCTACTTTAATGAGCTTGGCGCACCTCACATTGTACGTGTGCGGTTGTCTTCTTGAGCACCCAGCTTACATACGCCCGCAGATAATAACGTGGCCGTCCTCTATGGCGTCACGATGCGGAGAACTAAATGACTTCGTGGCACGGCCTCCGGACCACGTTTTCTCAACGTTGCTGGCAACTTATGAGTACATGTCCAGCGTCAAAGTCTGCGCGCGCCGACAAGATGATCACCAACTGCATAGATAATGTTTCGTACGTTTTTTCTCCTTATAATTTGGACGGCGACGTCTTGAACCATGTCTGTTAGGATGAGCGTCGATTGCGAACGCGATTCTACGCGGGCCCAACGTGGCGCTTCCGACTGGAATGTCTACCGTCTGCATCAAACGTTACGCCAGCGCCCAGAAAGATTTCATCGTACAGCCCGGAGGTTCGCGTCTTCGAGCCTTTTTGAACAGTGCAATGCTCAAAAACGTCATCTGACAGGTATCCCACGTGCACTCTAGTGTATATAAGTAGGTGAGGCCCGTTCCTCTGGAACAGGTGGCTTACTCCCTACCACACACCTCCATCGTACGTGGGATCCCTGGTCTGGCAACAAACCGGCTTCACCACGTCCATCAAAGGCGATGGGCCTCGTGGAACAACAGGATGCTTTCTATAAGTCAGGCGCTTGGGAGCAGGAAGGCGATGGCCTGTGGGAGGCTTTCCTGAAGATTATGGGATTCGAGAGGGACAAGGTCGTCCGCTACAGTACCTCGACCATGAAGGCGATCTCGCAATTCGTTCGTATCCCACTTCATCTGTATCTCTCATCAAGTTGCTCACAATGCCTGACTGCAGAGCGGGTTTTTCGTCACCACCCTTGCGATCTTCCTCGTGGACAGCCACAAGAGTCTCTCGCCTGTCGCAAGCGCCCAAACATCGGACGCCGCTCTCACGAATGCGCTCTTAGCACAGATGATGCGGTTGCAGTCATCAAGTGTGGTGCCGATGACAGCGGCCGACATAGAACCCTTCCGGCCGACCAAAACCGCCGTCGTCGTCAATACGCTCTGGTACCTCAGCCTCATCATCACTCTCCTGGGTGCTGTGCTGGCTATGATGGTTCAAGACTGGCTCAAAGACTCCCTGCCCACGGTACAGGACGATCGTCCATTGCTTGCGACTATCCAGCAACATTCCCTCAATCGACTGCGCTCGTATACGGCGCTTGAGCGTTATGGCGTAGACCGTCTCGCAACATGCGTCGTCGGTCTCATTCATTCCGCCGTGGTCCTCTTCCTTGTAGGACTCTCTCTATACGTATTCCCGCTCCATTCGACTCCCGGCCTCGCTGTTGCCGTAGCATCCGGACTAGGCGCGCTCCTCTACACGATGGCCAGCGTGGCCCCATTAATCGACCGGATGGGCCCTTATTACACTCCGTTGAGTCGTATCTTGGCCCCGGTCCTCTACAGCGTGGTGACGTTTGGAGCGTGTACATTCATGTATCTCGTGGTCATCAAGCTGGCAGTGGGCAGTTGGATACGCAGGAAGCGCGTCATCCTCGAAGATATCGATCCCCGATATACCTTTGCATTCATGAAGTTCCCGACCGAGTCGGTGCAGACTTCATTGTTCCCGATGTGTCGGGCGCTCCATTCGACGGAGAGGCGGGAAAGAATCCTTGCGTTGCTTCAAGACCCTCCGGAAGTACGACCGAACATCGCCGGACAAACGCTCACGTTTCTGGCGACGCGTACACAGGCATACTGGGAGGAGCACCCGGACGGCCTGCGATACATGGCCCGTTGCTTGCTCAGCATGGAGAGACAGGGCGATTGCGAGTTCTTCGTCTATCTCAGACAAAGTAGCTTCGTCATGAGCAGGCTCGTGATCGTCCTGCAAGACATCGACTCTGTCCTCGCCGCCGTAGGCGCCATCCGATCTTTGCAGATTCTTCTGTGGGCTGAGAGGGGGCTCTCGGTCGAAAGATTGCCTGTGCACATGGACGACCAATGGAGGAATATGGGACCCATTCTCGATGCGTTCCCAGCGTTCGCAAAACAAGTGGGCGAGAGGGTTGGCGAGGCTGAGCGGGAAAAGGATATCATGCTACATGCCGCGCTAGCAAGCTTTCGTTGGACATTGATCCGGAGTTTGAGTGCCATTCAAGCTCAAGGACGTTCTTATACCTCCGATCAACGGGGGTTCGTCACGAAGACCAACCTACATTCAATGCTTATCACCCTCGACAGCATCGAGAGTCTGCGCATGCGGGCAGTGTTCCGCACTGCCGGCCATCTACCACTGGAGACACTCCTTCAAGACTCTTCCAAGGACCATTCATTGGAACTCTCAGCCCGTAACGCGTTCACACTTTTGGACGCTGTACGACGCTGCGATTGGCGCGGTGACGATTGGAAAAGACCCGATCGTCACTACATTCGCAAGGGCATGCCGGGATTGTGGGAATGGCATCGACTATATGGATGCAGCCATTCTGGACCTAAACTTGCAGCCTCGGAAGGCTTGTGCGAACTGATGAACCAAGACCGCGTAAGAGCATCGATGCAGGGCGATTCGCCCGCGACGGTCCAGGACGATATACGACTCGACCCAGTGGCCGTACACGCGCTGCGCGACCTTGCGAGCATCGTAGACGCCCAATCGTTGTTACCCGCGCCAATGGCAGTAGCTCCTGCCGAGTATGAGATTGAAAGTGCAGGAGACGTCGACTCTACTGCGATGGTCCAGGAGGATTTGCGACTTGATCCAGTTGCGGTGCACGCGCCGACTCGGAGTGACCTCGCGAACGTCGTGGATTCTCAATCGCTGGAATCCGCGCCACTGGCTGTAGCCCTAGCCGAGCATGAGATCAAGAACGCGAAACCCCTAGACCTGCTCACGTCGTCGGAGCCTAGCGAAGATAGTGAATCCTGGCATACGGTTTCATACGACGCCTGAGAAGGCCGTGTTGGTGCTGCGGCGATCGCGCCATATACGCGCTGGTGGAGTCTAGGAAAGGGAGACCAGAGTCTCCGAAGACATAGGAAGGATTCCTTGCTTTGTGTACCCAGTGCACGAGCAGGCTCGTGAGGAACTGGTTCCTCGCCAACGCGCCAGTGAGCGCGGCTGCAAGAAGTCAACACGATCACGTGCGACCATATTTGACCCGCGCGTTCGCCTCTTGCTCTTGACCACCACGACCGTTCTTCAAGCTTCAAGCTTCACCGCTTCTCGCCACGGTGCATCCTACGGCTACTCCGTAACCCTTTCGTAGCACCCTCTCTGTCCTTCTTGTTCCTTCCTCAGCGCCCTGACTTTGCCTTGTACTATACGACTCGGTCCTGATTCTCTGATATAAAGGCTCGGTCCCTCATGTATCTAGACTACATAGTTTCTCTTCCCCCTCGAGCACCCAATGCATAAGACTTTCTTGATGAAACCCAGTGTGTCCCGCGTGCCTCAAGCGTGTACCTGAGCCTATTGGCCGAGCTCTCTTGCACCTGAAGCTCGCCGTCGCTGATAGATCGGTGCTCTCGCGCCCCGCCGAGTCGGGTCGTCTTTGTAGCTATCGAAGTGTTCAGACCGCTATGTGCTATCATTAATTTGTCACAACACAAGATGGTAAAAAATTGCACAGCACCTCCAAGTACCCCGCTAGCCCACAGTATTTGACGTAGTCCTTTGGATCATCCAGCTGGGCTCACGGTCACAGAGTATTAAACACTTTCAAAGTCTGCTTATAGCCGTGCTGGCTGTTGCAAGAAAGCTCAAACTCGAAGAATTGGATGCGCGTCGTCGCCCTGGAAATTATGTAATACCCGAATGAGGCAACCGACGCGCCTCGCGCGCGACGCGTCGTGTTTTCTGCGCGTCTTCGTCCGCTCTTTCTGCTTCGGCTACGATCTCTCTCCTCTCTACAGCCCGTATACCATCCTCTTAGGGCTCTACCACAAAAAATGGCCGCACAAATGGCAGGACAGACGCCGGTGTTCGTTATGAGTGTGTATATTCGCTTTAAGCGGGTGCTTTGGAGGACGCGTTTTGCTTAGTTTGATTCGTAGATACGACGCCGGAGAGGCAGTCGGGGCGGAAGGCGCAGATTTCGAATATTACTGCTGCCAAGGTACGCTTATGAGACTGTACAGTGTGTTATAATGGCTGATGGGTACATTGTAGACTGTTGCGGACGTGATCAGGACATGTTTGGGGCCGAAGTCGATGCTGAAGATGATCCTCGACCCCATGGGCGGCATCCTGTGCGTCGTCCTCCACTTCCTACACCACTCTATCTTATTCAACTAATACAGGTTGACGAACGACGGCAACGCGATCCTGCGCGAGATCGACGTGGCGCACCCAGCGGCGAAGAACATGATCGAGCTGTCGCGGACGCAAGACGAGGAGTGCGGCGACGGCACGACGTCCGTGATCGTGCTGGCGGGCGAGATTCTGGCGCAGTCGCTCGCCCAGCTCGAGCGCGACATCCACCCCGTCGTCATCATCTCCGCCTACAACAAGGCCCTCCAGACCGCGCTCGACATCGTCCAGAGCATCTCCGTCCCCATCGACACGAACGACGACGCGCAGATGCTCGCGCTCATCAAGACGTCCATCGGCACCAAGTTCGTGATTAGGTGGTCGGACCTGATGTGCAAGCTCGCGCTGCAAGCTGTCAGGACCGTCGCGTCCCAAGAAGCGGGCATGCACACCGTCGACATCAAGCGCTACGCGCGCGTCGAGAAGATACCCGGCGGCGAGATCGAGGACTCGCGCGTGCTGTCGGGCGTGATGCTCAACAAGGACATCACGCACCCGCAGATGCGCCGCCGGATCCACAACCCGCGCATCGTGCTGCTCGACTGCCCGCTCGAGTACAAGAAGGGCGAGAGCCAGACGAACATCGAGATCAGCAAGGAGGTCGACTTCGCGCGGATACAGCAGATCGAGGAGCAGCAGGTGAAGGGGCTTGTGGATGCGCTGTTAGAGTTTAAGCCGGATCTGGTTATCACCGAGAAGGGCGTGTCCGGTGCGTACTCTCCATCTTCACCGCTACATGATACTGATGGGCATCCGGACAGACTACGCGCAATACTTCCTCGCCAAAGCCGGCGTCTCCGCCCTCCGCCGCGTGCGCAAATCCGACAACAACCGCATCGCGCGCGCGGTGGGCGCGACGATCGTGAACCGCGTCGAGGACCTGCGCGAAGCCGACGTCGGCACCCAGTGCGGGCTCTTCAACATCGAGAAGATCGGCGACGAGTACTTCACGTTCCTCACCGAATGCACCACGCCCAAGGCCTGCACCATTCTCCTGCGCGGGCCGAGCAAGGACATTTTGAACGAGATCGACAGGAATCTCGCGGACGCGATGAGCGTGGCGCGGAATGTGGTGTTTAACCCCAGCTTGGCGCCGGGGGGCGGGGCGACGGAGATGGCGATTAGCGTGGGGTTGCAGGGCAAGGCGAGGAGCGTTACGGGCGTGGAGGCGGGGCCGTATAGGGCTGTTGCGGATGCGCTGGAGGTTATACCCCGGACGCTTATTCAGAATGCGGGCGGGAATGTTATGCGGACGCTCACGGAGCTCAGGGTGCGCTCGTCCTCCATTCTCCCTTGGGTCTATGCTGATGGTGGACGTTGTAGGCCAAGCACGCGAACGGCGAGCACAGCTGGGGCGTGAACGGCGAGACGGGCAAGATCGTGGATATGAAGACGTACGGGCTGTACGAGTCTGCGAGCGTGAAGATCCAGACGCTCAAGACGGCCATCGAGGTGCGTCTCTCTCCCCTCTGCCCCGCGTTCTCTCTCCCTTTCTCCCTCTCGCATCACTACTCCCTCCACTCTGCGCGCTCTTGCTTCGTGTCCATGATGCTAACACCGCCCACAGGCCGCCCGCGTCCTCCTCCGCGTCGACGACGTCGTACAAGCCACCCGCAAAGAGCGCGAGCAGGGCGGCGGCGGAGGCGGCGCGCCGCCCGAGGAGGCTATGGAGGGTTGATCGGTGCTCTGGAGGGTTGATTCGGTGCTCAGGAGGCGATGGATACAGTGCGAAAGTGTGTATACTATGGTGGTGTAGAATGGACGTGTTGGTGCTCTGACTGTGGCCCGGACGCGCGCATGACGAATAGGACGGACGATAGGGGAGAGTACCCGAGTGGGTGGTAAAGTCACCCCGGACGTCGACGCAGCGGCAGAACGGTATGCTGCGGTACTCCGCTCTTCATCGCGACGAATGGAAACACCGTGTCGACGGGCGATGCTCTCGCTTCGGACGGTGGTGTCTTGGCCAGCTTTCACAGCGTAGCGGCTGGTGCTCGACTCAGTCTGGTCGCTGTATAAGGTAGCTCTGACGAGGCAGTGACATAGTAAAGCACGAAAGGACGACGTCTACAACATTCAGTGGTCCTCACGCCGACCGAGGCATCCGGCTCTCTCGTAGGTGCCTTCTGCTCCACGTCGGGCCTGCCTGCGATTGTCACGGGTGGGCTTGTACAGCATCTGTGGGCGTAGACAAGTTGGGGCGATTTGTCGTCGATCAGGCTAACATTTGGAAGAGTGTGTGCACGCGTACGGAGCCGCTGATCGCTATTCCGGTCACAGTGCCAATGTCCAAGATGTACAAGATCTCGGGTTCCTCGCACTGGATCAACTGCTACACATCCAAGAAATTGGCCGCCTTTCTTGGGGATCATGGGGCCTGTGGGGAATTGGTGAGGAATCAGACGCGGTGAGCAGACCTTCCTGTATGCCTTTCTATGTACTCATCGCTACTCGCTCTAGGTATTCTGGTGATTTACAACGCATCCAGATCTTTTTGGTATTCACCTCAGCCCAATATTGCTCCCCGCAGCGCGTACTTGGTACGGAGACGTTGATCGCGATTCAGAGTGCCAATGTACAAGATCTCGGGTTCCTCACACATGCTCTGTCGAGTATGGCGACATAGAGATCATGGGATATGGGGAATCAGATATGGTGAGCAGACCTTCCTGTAGGCGTTCTGTGCACCGGATGCTCATTGCGACGTGCTCTAGATCGCTGGTCCTTCAGCCTCTGCTGGTCATGCTGATACTCGCCGCAGCCCGACGTATCCGATTTGCATTCGTAGACCATCAGCTGAGGATGTGACCATACTTCACAGGTGGGTCTACCGCGCTCTAGTACTGGAAGGAGGCAAAGCTTAACTCTTGTTCATATAGTACTGTCTCCTTTCGGAGCCGTCGTGGCGGGCTTGCGAGAAGCCGACATTCACATGGCGCTTCTGCGGCGATGTGATCGTGCTGAGCGGCGTGCCCGCCGTCGTCGAGGTACGAGTAACGACACGCGCAACGACAGCCGCGGTGCTAGTACTCGGATACGTTAAAGTCCCCTGAATGCGAGTACAGGTCCGGCGACCATGAGCAACGCCTATTCGTCATCCGCAATAACAGATCCGGACCCTCTGCGGCGCTCAGTCGTACGGCCGCTGTCAGCAAGTGTCCTCGGCGTCGCCGCCGGCGCGGCGTTCGTCAATGTCTCTGATTCTCAGACGATCGCGAAGCCCGCTGTCCGCTCGCCGCTCTCAATGAAGCTCCAGTCGATCGTCTGGATCCGCTGGCGCTCTTGCGATCAGGACCTCTACTTGTACGCTCTGTATTTCGACAGGGTATCATCCTACCTTGTACGCCATACGACAAGAGCGTAAACGTCGTGCCGGTCATGGTGCCCAGCGCAGCCCGATCAGGTCCCGCCCGCCCAGGACACAAAGCGGCCGGCAGCAAAATAGCTCTTGCGCTCGGGACGGTGGAGCAAAGATCTATCCGGCTTTCATCCTTCCGGAACTTCGGCCCATGCATATGAGCTCGAGGGTCCTCGGCGATCGGGGCGCATCAGGGCAATTATGCCTTATCTGCGGCTTGAGGCGGGCTCAAGGCGGGCTCGCCAGGGGTGCCCGCGGAGAGGACGGGGAGGTTGTGGGGAATACGCCACGCGATATTGGGCTCATTGTGCCTTGGTGCACTTTGGTGACATTGAATCATTGTCGACGTCGTAAGAATCGTGAAGATCGTAAAGATCGGGTATCAAAAGGCAATGTTCGCAGTTGTAGGTTGAGCTCATCGTATTCGTATTGTCGAGGAACCCGAAGCGTAGAACTTCGAGGGTGGAACATTCGAACTCGGAAAACCCGATGCAGTGATGGAACGGCTGGCAAGAGATGATTGGATGCTGGTTGATAATGATAGCGTGAAAAGATGCGGGAATCGTGTATTTACAGTACATTCCAAGCTATGAACGACCTTGGTATTTGGTTACAGTAGTGTATACATCTACACCGGCGAGCAAACCCAAATCCCAATGAAAAGAAAAAGGCGAAGTGCTACAACAGCGGACGAGATGAATGACGAGAATGAGTAAAGTGTGGTAGAGATGTGATATGAGATATGAGGGGTAACGCGTGGAATGGCAGGCAGGTACGACGTAGGGAGCTCCGAGGGAATAATGAACATCCAGAGAGATTAGACAGCCTGAACGGCGTCCACGTTCGGGCCCGCAATGGGGTTGGCCCGCTCGCCAGGGGCGGCTTTTGCGAGGTGGCGACGTGCGGCCGCCGACGGGCGGTTGACCCAGGACTCGCCGCCGGTGAAGATGAAGAGGTCGTAGAAGAGCGCGCCGGTAAGACCGCCCGCGAGCGGGCCACAGGTAATGCACCAGAGCCAGAACTGGGAGCGGTAGTTGAACACCTCGCGGCCGTAGCCAACCATGGCGGTCATGATACGAGGACCGAGGTCACGGGCGGGGTTGATCGCGTAGGCGGTTTGCATACCCCAGCCAGCGCCGAGACCCAAGATGAGGAGGAAGATGACCAAGGGGAGCAGGCCAGCGGGCGGGGGACCATTGTTGCGGTCGGTCACGGCGAAGACAACAACGACGAGGATGAATGTGCCCAAGAACTCATCGAAGAAGCAGGCGGCGGAGGGCAAGTAGTCGAGTGCGTAGGTCGAGAAGAGGGAAGCCGTGCCGGGGACGGTGCGGACACCTTTTCCGCCCTCGTAGATGTCGATGGCGTGGAAGTAGTTTGCGTAGGTAAGCATGGCGCCCAGCCAAGCGCCGAACACTTGACCGAGGATGTAGCCCGGAACCTTCTTCCAAGGGAAGCCACGGAAGATGGCGAGCGCGAGCGTGATTACCGGGTTGTTGTGGCCGCCGGAAATACCGGCTGACACCCATACACCAAGTGCAGCGCCTATAAGCAGGTGTTTAGCGATGCCGGGGACACCCTCGAGCGCCGCGATCAGAACGTACCGACTGCCCAAAGGAAGGAGATGGAAAGATACTCGCCCTTGGGGGACGAGGCAACGCCTGTGTTTCCTGAGAGTACGACTTGGCAATCAACACCGTTTCTGTTCCGTATCAGCGAGGGTTCGACTGTGCGAGTGATTGAGTGACGTACCCGAAGATAATGAGAATCATGCAGCCAAGGGCTTCAGCGGCGGGCTCGCGAATATAACCGCTGAGCGTCGTGTCAGTAGTACGTCTTGCAATTTGAGGACGCGGGCACGTACCGGAACCTTGCCCAGGCGTTCGGGTACTTGGTATAGTATTCATGGAGCTTGTTCCAGTTCTCGGGCGATTCGTGTAACGTGTCTTCGACGTGTGAGAGTTCGTGATCGTGAGCGGTTTTGCCAGTGGAAGAGACGCTCTCGGACTCTTTGTGGGAAGACGTCAACCTGCCGCGCATAATGAAGAAGGAGAGGGGAGGAAGTCCTGTAGCGGGGAGCGGAAGGATGAGAAAGTCGGCAGGTGGACACGGAGAAGTTTACTTATAGGGTCGGGTTCGGCCCGTACCCGTATGATCGGTGCCGTGGCCCCAGGAAAATGAGATTCGAATCCGGAGACCCCGGGGGGTAGAGTCTGAAGAAAGGTTCGGGCGGGCGAGGCCATGTGCAGCCACCAGCGGAAGGCGCAATGATGCCTGAGACCTCCGACCTGAACAGCACTGCGCCGCCGATCTCATATCTTTCCAGCGTACATCTTCCCCCGAATGTCTCAAAGAACTCTCTCTTGAAGGCGCTCGGATGCCCGAGAGCCTCCGCCGCGGCGCCCGTGGTTACTGGAACTGCTCGCTACAGCTTTCACCTGGCACTGAAGCGAATCGGCACAAGCTACCGAACAGGAATCACAATTTTTTTACATACTTGATATACAGAGCTGTGGCACATGAAATAGGCGCCTTACGTCGCGTACTGATGAGTGCTGATGTTCTTCCTTCGTAGCGGCAGGGTCCTCTGGTCATGTACGTAGTCACCAGACTGGCCAAGCAGAATAGTCAGGCAGCCAATCTCCGCATAGGTCTCGGTACAGAGTTGAAGCACAAGAAGGACAAATACTGATAACGAAAAAGGTACAGCTCTAGAGGGAGAGCGTCAAGTGCGGGGCTGGCGAAGTCGATGAAGTCGTCGCCGTCGGAGGCAAAGCGGGTATGCCAATAACCGGGCAGGGACCCATCACTCGGATATCGGCCCGGGTTGCTTAACTCAGAGTCACAGTCGACTTGTCATCTTCTCCGCTTGCCGCTTGATGAGATCCTACCGGCGGCTTCTAGCACAGGCTCGTAACATTGTCCGGACCCCAGCCCTTCGTCCGAGTACCGCCTCCCGGACCATGAGAGAGAGAGGATGACTGACATCCAATGCCATGAGGTTCGCAGATCGTTCAGATGCGATTGGATACTACTAATAGTCGCTCCAGGCGCTACGAGATCCTACAGCCAAAGCTATCGTACAGAGGGGTTTTAATTGCGCGCAACATGCAAGCCAACAGACGAAACCAAGAAGAAGGGACGGGATGTATTTCACATTTTCGCGAGCAGGCCATGAGAACGCGCGGGTCAATCAAGCAAGCGACTTGCTCGTCGACGCGCGACGTTTGGACTCAGCAGTGGAGGTCCTCTCGGCTTCGTAACTTGCAAGAGCAGATGCGTTGCTATGGGAGACATTCAGCGAAGGGCAGAGTTGGAATTGACGATATGCACTCACGGACGGTTGAAGATGCTATCGCCACCGGTGTACATGAGCGCATCATACACAGCAGCGGCTGTGAGAGCGCCCAGGATAGGCGCGAAGGTAGTGCACCATAGCCAGTACTGAGAGCGGTAGTTGAAGACTGTGGTAGCGATTGTCAGAGGGGGTATAGCGCATTAATAGCGAGCGAACGTACCTGCACGGCCGTAGCCCACCATAGCGGTCATGACCCTGGGTCCGAAGTCTGCATGGGAATGAGAAAAGTGTGTGCAAATGCACTGGAACCATACTCACCACGGGCGGGGTTCAACGCAAATGCTGTCTGCATGCCGAAGGCGGCCGTGATACCAAGGAAAACGAAGAAGAGGGCGAGCGGGAGAAGGCTCTTGGACATGGGGCCCCTGCACTTGTCGGTGACGGCGAAGATGACGAACACGAGAACAAATGTCCCGAGGAACTCGTCGAAGAAGGCATTGGCAGAGGGCAAGTAAGGGAGCTGATGGTCGAGTGTGAGCAATTATCTGCTATAGCAATGTAAATGGGAAGAACATACAGCGTATGCGCCGAAGAACCCGGCGGTTCCAGGAACGGTATATTGATGATTGTCCACAAGGTTGATTGCGTGGAAGTAGTTCGCGTATACGACGATAGCCCCCAACCAAGCACCGAAATACTGAGCAAGGATGTATCCGGGCACCTTCCTCCAGGGAAACCGACCGAAAGCGGCCATAGCAATCGTGACCTGAGGAAGCGCGAATCAGTACATCGGTCCGCTGTGGGACTGGGCGTCTACCGACGTACCGCAGGATTGATGTGCCCCTGGGAAATTCCTCCAGAAACCCAACCTCCTAGAGCCAGGCCTGGACACGGCATGAGTAAAGACAGCGGCCAACGGTGATAAGAGCTTACCTGCGCCCCATGCAAGCGCAATCGATCCGGGGTCTGCCTGCGGGGAAGGTGTAGTGGCCGGGTTATTGCCGACGCCATTTTGACAGTTGACACCAGTGCCGAAGAGCACCTGCGAGAGCATAAGTGTAAGTGAAGGAACCACAGATGCAATGGCGCTATGCGTGACGCACAAGGATGAAGGTGCCAAATGCTTCTGCAGCAGGCTCGCGGATATGTTCCCTGCAAGGGCATTAGCCTCAGTCCAGATTGCGAGGAGAGACAGAAGCTCACCGTATCCTGGACCACCTATTCGGATAACGAGGCCCAACATCGCCCTCGTTCAAAGGTTCGTCAGAAACATCGCTCACTCCGGGAGCGTATTCGTTCTGGACGTTGGACATGTGAGAGGCTTTGGAGGGGGACGGTGCGGGGGCTTCGTGTACGGAGACGTCGTGCTTGACGTGGAGAGGGAGAAGAGACGGCATGACGGTCGATAGTTATGCGAGTTAGACGTTCGGAATGTGTTCGCAAGTAGATTGGCGATGGGGAGCGCTAGCCGTTTCAACGTCGGGGAGTTCGTAAGGTCGTTGGGCGTACGAGTGAGTTGGCGAGGTGGGATATCTGCGTCGAAGACTATACTGGTCTTATAGGGATCGAGCGAGCTCCATGTCCCTTTCGGATGATGCAAAGGAGCCGAGACGTATCGGGTGGGTGGAAAGAGTTGGCCTGAAGCGGATATTCGGATACCCTAACAAACCTCCTAAGCATGTTGCCCACGACTTTACGAGTACGCTTCGCGAACCGGAGTAGTTTACCGCCAGAGATCAGCGTTTACACGTTCAGCCGGTTGAACATCGGTCACGGCGAACTCTAGTGGAAGGAGTACACATGGCAGCAGTAATTCGTAGACGGTGACGAACGCGTCTTAGAGTAATCGGCGCAGAGTGAGACTATCGTCTCCATCCGTTCTACCCCTAATTGGGTCTATCTAGCTCTGGCCATGTTTCTTGGATGTATTGTCGAAGCGCCTGGCGCCTGAATTGCATTCGTGCTGCCGGATAGCTCAGGAAAAGTGCAAGCGAGTGGTCGTAGAGCGTAAGCAACGCCGCTGCTCTCTGAGCGATGGCCGAAGCGCGCCGCGTCACGATTCACGGTCACACTGCGCCGAAAGTTCAACTTGCCGCGGATCCTATTGGCTCTACCGCCCAGCTCCCTGAAGATGCATGGTTGAATTGAGCTTTTTATATTGCAGCTGACTTCTATCTGCTTCACTATGGCCATCACGGCCGTTATTACGCGAAAATTAGCGGCAAGCATTATTGCGAATTATCATTTCGCGAGCGAGGCGTTAGAGCGGCGAACAGTCACGCCGTCTGAATCGCGCTAAAAGTTGTGAAGCTCGTACATTCTCTGCCTTGCGAGAACGACTTTCGCATGGGTATGCAGTAGAGATAGAGTTGGCTATACGGATGGCCTGGTAGAACCCGAACAGAAGCCTCAGCTGCATCTCACGCGCTACCTGTCGGAAAACAAAGAAGGTGTTTTGTTGTCCGGCCGCGTGTGCCGGTGACCTGTAACTCTTCCTGATCTCGCAGATCCCAATACGCCTCGCGGTAACAACGTGGACACAGCAGTAAAAGAAGTAGGTACGGCCATCATAGAAGAAGCGACACCGGATCCCAAGGTGGCGTAGTACGTATCTGACCACGCCCATCCGTGAAATCAGGGGCATTGCCGAAACCGTCGATGCTTCGCCGCCTCGTACACGGAGAGGCATAGCAACAGAAGGCCCCTCGCTTCCGAGTTTCCTATCATTCCGCGCGTGCCTATAGGCTATCGAGCGTGTTCAAAGGCTGTGCTGGTTAACATCAGTTGACATCGTTTATGCATGTTGGTTTGTGTGCAGTCATCGGAGGCCACTTCTCTTACTCGATTCATCCTCAGAGCCCGTCACAGAGAATAAGATGGACCAGGCATCGTGAATACTCGATGGCAATCTGATGCGGTTCAAGAGAAGCAATTCGAACTGTCAAGCCGTACCCGGTCCCCCGAACCATGTTAACGTTTGACTGGGAGGCCCAACAGCAGATAGGAAGATCCCCTACATGCGCGCACCACGCCATATTTCAAACGGCCCAGCGTCTAGTTCAGCAAGTCTCCGATGGTTCTGAAGATGACAGGTGCATCATGCCAGTAGCAGAGATCGCGCTGCTCGCTTTGTGAAGACGTTCGCAGACTCGGGCTTCTGCAAGTCGTGGCGCAAGCCACAGAAGATACTGAGTGAATAGAAGAAGGGAACGGGCGCCGACCGCAGCGATATCGCCTGGCATCGCATAGAGAATCGGTACCCGCAAAACCTCAAGCAGACACATACGGTGGTGTCGAAGGCACTCCCAAAGAAGAAGCGTACACGGCAATCTTGCGTTCAGGGAAACTTGAGAGGTTGCACCGTGAACATTCAAGCACGGCCGGCTCTACAAGGGAGCCTCCTGACAGCTCGGTAGAAGGATAGGCTCTCACATGGTACAGCAAGCAAACGTGGATGTTCGTAAAGGAGGTACACCGTCAGATAAACAGGGGTAAGACGGTGTAAGGCGACAATATGTCATGTCTCAGGGGTATGCAACGCCTGCTGCTCTCATAATGTCTGTAAGCTCGGCGTCTGCGATAGCATGGGGCGTCAGAAACACAGCACAGCCCTTCACCAGAGAATGATATACGTACGATCTTGTGTGTGTACCATGCGGTGAAAGAAGCTACACTCAAGGCCAGGCCCGAGCACGAGTTCACCTCCGTTCTGAGAAATATTACCACTCTTACTGAACTGCGTGATATGGAACAGTGTATGCTGTCAATGGGAAGGCGTTGAGTATCGGGGAGGGCCCTCAGGCCATCCTTAACATGAGGCACACCTTTGTTGCTTCGAGCGTGGTCTTCCAGACGCTTTGCGTGATATAGCTAGCCTTGGGCTGCCCACTCGGCGTTTGCTTAAGGTTCTCGACCATCCCAAAAGCGCTGTACAGGCTTCGGTCGGGGTTGGCATAGACGTTACCCTCAAATCCGGTGTCCTCTGGTACTGAATGTCAGCCACTGGTGAAGCATGTGGTGAGGTGGGGATGCTCCCGCCTTTGTATTCTTTGATCAGCTCCCACTCGCCACAACCGACCAACACGATATCGGTATTGGCCGCTTGTAAGGCCTCGCCTCGCACGGTGCTGGAGATCTGAGAAACGTATTGCTTCCATATCGTGAGCATGGGATGCATGTGACTCGGCGATTCGTCTTACCTTGCATATCTGGAGACGAATATCAATCAAGGCAACACGACCCTTCAGATGCTAAGCCCGCTACGACGCGTAACGAGACATACCCCGCAGAAGAAATGACCTTATGGCGCGTGCAGAATGAGCTCAGACGAAGAGAGAGATGCGTCAGGGTACCCACGTATGAAGACGACTACCGTCTTCTTGTCCTTGAATATCGAGCCGAACTTCACCTTCTCGCCTTTCTCGTTGTACACCTCCAACTGGGCGGCTTTCTCAAGCGTCTGCGTATCAAGCTCTGTCGTAGATGCGGACATGATGGAAGCACGATGCAGGACTCAGGAAGGAAAGCCACGATCCATATTCGCAGGCGCACAGTGGTGGCCGTGTCTGCCTGAGAACCAAACCTTGCCTGGCTCGCATCCCGGCCGCGTTGACGCACGTGACGTCACTGCTCACGCGCTGCAGCAACGAGCTTGCCGCACGTACCCGAGCAACCACCATCGTCTCGCGCCCAGCGCGCCAAATAGCATACTCTATGTCTGTGCAACCGTTTTCGGACGAAGATCTCGCCCATAGACCTTCCATCAACTCGCCGTTTGTCGAGCATGTGCCTCCAACACTTGAGCGCGCTGCCAACCGCCTAAGCTTCCCCCCATCATATGTCGTAGTCGGCGCGTACCGTTTGATCACGGATAAGTCAATACTTGTGCCCGTATGGAAGAAGAGCCAGCACGGGTTTGTGCGCGGTCTGGGTATTAGCGCGGCATGGGTGAGCAAGTTTCGCAGCACCTACAGTCGAACTAGTAGTAACCCTATTTTTGTGACGGTGTCCATAGGCAGCTCTCACCTTCAATATTCAACGCGGACTCGTGAGGCTCTTCTGGATGAAGTAAGTACAAGCCCTCTGCTGCCTGCATACGTATGTCCTCATCACGAACCAAGATCGCCCAAAGTCCTAGGACTGCAATCTGAAACTATCTTTGGCTACCGGCCCCCATTCGACCTGGCTACACGTGAGTCGTGATGTATCTCTTGGTATCCCACACACTAAACTATTGTCAGTCGCAACCTTAGTATTCGTCGCAACACAAGCATCAACGCTCATCGCCTATTTTCTACGCCGCAATCTTCAGGTAGCGCGCACCCGAGCCTGGGACCAGACAGTGAAGTCGAGGCATAAGGGCATCGACTTCTTTCAACCTTACGTCGAAGAGTGGGAGACCCCGCCCGTTGTGAACGAAGACGAATGGGCCGCTCTGGCCATCGCACGTGGACACATCCTTCGGCTAACTGTCAAGAAAGGTGCGCGTAGTACCCCAACAGCATTCAGCTTCACGGACTCATGCGCCTTCTTAGCGGTTCTCATGGCTGTTCGCTATACAGTTCCATTCGCTGGCTTCCTTATTTCTGCTTGGTTCAAGGCTATGGATACCTCAAGTTACCTTCACCGGCCTGTATGTACTTATCTCTCGCGCTGACACGGTACAGAACTGAGCCGTCTGTAGTATTTTGAAGCGAAGAAGATGAGCAAGCACGAGATCGCTACATTCATTGCGGAACACAAATGGGACTACCGCGGTACGCTGTCCTTTTCGGCTCGCCTCCGCGTGCGCTGATGCTGTTCTCTTCAGGGTTCGGATTCGCTGCGGCTTTAGTTGAAAGTTTACCTATCATCGGCCTGTTCTTCTCCGTGTCGAACAGGATCGGCGCGGCTATGTGGGCTTTTGGTAAGGCTTTGGGCGACCGTTCGCTATTACAAACCTGACCCCATTCGCAGACCTTGAGAAGCGTCAACACTACGTAGCTGAAGAGAAGCGCAAGCGTCTTCAGTGAAGGACAAGCAGTAATCTAGCGCTTCGTCTTTCTTCCTAATGCATGGACTTGGGTTTCATTCTCAGCATCAACGTGTACAGTAGCCACTGTGGACGATGTATAACTATCACAATGGTAATATCGGATCAAAACGAGAATAGTGCATTCATCCTCATCTGCGCGCGACGTCAACGTCACAGACGATGATCGACGTGTCGTCGATGTAAGGCTCCATGTCCTCCAGTCCTTGCTGATTGGTGATTCTGTGCAGCCGTCCAACATCCGTACCGCCCGCGAGGTTCCCGAGAAGATCTACCGCGGCATTAGCGTGCCAGTGTGGCTGAATGCCATTCCCTAGTGCCGCCTCAGCCCTGGCCGAGTTCGATTCTGGATACAGCAGGTCGGCGAGAATCTCAGCGCTGTTAATGCTCTCGTCAACGGGGTCCCGAAAAGCGGCCATGGTGATTGCCTCTACGCCGTCCGAGAATAAGACGACCTTGGGAGCCGTATAGCCAGACAGGTCGACAAAGCGCACATGCGGGGTGCCCGAGAGGTATGGCGGCGTCTTACTGTGCTCCAGGACTCGCAGCAAGCCCTTCGGATTGGCTGAGTTGGGAACGTGAAGCATGATCTTCTCCAAATAATGCTTGTCAAGTTTGAGAGCGAAGTCGCCGATCGCTGTCAAGGTTTTTGTTAGCGATGTTGTGGACTTGCGTAAGAGATGTGACTGTATACCTCGAGTGACCATGATGGAACCCAAGACGCGATTGGTGCCGTTGGCGAATGCAATTGCGTTGGGCTCGCCGGGGTGCTCGGCCGTGATGCGAGCAACCTCGGCGTCGTTGGAAGCCCCGTGCGGTTCGTTAAGTGCCTCGTACTTGGGTTTGCCGTCCTCTCCGCTAGACACCAGAACTGAAATGCCTCAGTTTGTGAACGTACGAACAGTACGTACTCAGCGAAGACTCACGAACTGTTGAGTCGCCGAGACCGACACTCCACAAGAGCTGGGCTGCCGGGTTCACAAGCGCTATTGCGACAGTCGTACCATGCTGAGCACGTTGAATGATATCGCGATGCTTCTCCGCAAGCGCTTTACCCTCTTCTTCAGTGAGAGAAGCGGGGTCCGGACAGATAGCCTTCAGAGCGTCCCCTAACGACGCGTCGAACTTCTCTACCTCGCTCGTGAGCAAAGTATGCACCACACTGCTGTCCGCCAGAGCAGATTCGCGGGATAGTTGATCCGCTGGAAGCGCCGAGAGGGCGGCCTGTATGTGGCCTGGCAACTCTTGCACAGTATAGTCTACAGCCGCTTCGCCAGCATGGCCTAATAGTTGACGGCATAAGTGAAACGTTACATCGTGACCGCCCGAAGAACCCACCATCAAAGACCGCAAGGAAGAGCCACTTCTGGCCGGCGATCTCCCATTGCTGAGTGACGACGCGATCTTGACTCGACTTGCCCGCAAGCGGTTGGAAAGTCACGGTATGAACACCAGCATATGGCTCGGTAGCTGTGTAGTACTTCGCCAAGACCTCGCGTGCAGTATCGAGCTCAGAAGTAGACATGGCAGTCGGAGATGAAGGCTAGAAGGATGCCGCGAGGAGAGCCAGGGAACTGTGGGCGACTACCGATGACGGATAGTCGGGATCGATACACGGAAGATCGGCAGCTGGGGATTTGAGTCGCAGTCTTAGTAGTACGCGTCTTTGCCCTTTCACCGGGGTACAGGGCAAGTGAGTAGGCACCGCAGGTATCGTGTGCCACAGGCTCTGGGTCAAGGGTGCGCCGCAACGATCAATGGATATTCGCGCTCAAAGCGGGTTTAGCACAGCCCTCTCCAGGGTCACAGCGTTCAAGGGGAGTGCTGTAGGGCGGCGACACTGTCGCGACGGGGATCGATGGTGGTGGTCGAAGTCTAAACCGACAGTTGGTGGCGCGCATGTCGTCGCGTGGAAGACCATACCCGTGCACCGCGTATAAGGCCGATCCTATGAACGTAGCTATTGTATAGATAGTCAAGGAGATGATTAGATAGGAGCATGTAATACAGCGCTGTACAGTGATGGTGAAATAGATAGTGGATGGTGGTATAGTGCGTGTATCACAACGTGATCTAGTGGCAGATAAGGAGAGGTATCGGTATGTAAGCCAGACAACAAAGAACGAAACACCAGATGGATACCGGAAGACTTCCAACTGTACACCGTACGTATCCGATCCCATCGACCCCAATACACCCAGACAAGGAAGGTGGAAGAATAAGATCATGAATGCGGCCAAGACGATTGCCACATAATATCAGCGTGCTCGTTCCATATATGCGCGCCCGTATCTTTATCGATATACAGCACCTCTCCAGGCGCGAGCGGCCGATCCGGCAACGTCCACCAGCTGTTGTACTTTTCGTTCTGGAAGTGATTGTACAGCGACTCACGTAGCCAGGGCCGGTTGTGCTCGCTGTAGTACCAGTCGCCGATCGGCGCGAGCGGCTCGAGAACCATGTCCATCCGTATGGGCTCGAAACGCTCCGTTACTGGGCCTGCGGAATCCGTGCGACCTGTATACCGCTTGTGGTTGCGCCCGCCGCCTTCCAGTGTAGGCCCAATTTCTGACATGTACAGCACGGCGTAGCGGCGAGGGAACCAGAGGAACCAGCCATCGACGATCTCGTCGTCCGTGCGAACGGCGATCTCGCTTTCCAGTCCTGCGGACGTGAATGACGGCTCCCGTACAGCGTTGTCGCGGTGTCTGCGAAGAGCGGCGTTGATCTGCCTTCTGATTTCAGGGCGCAAGAACGCTTCGTCGGCAGCGGGGAGCTCGACGCCGTCCACTAGAGAATGTTTGATCCAGTTCCAGTTCTCGATCGAGTAGACGCCGTCCAGAGTGCTGATATGGTGCGTGGAGTCGATGACTGCGTCGAAGCGCAACCATCTCAAGTTCGAGAGTACCAGTAGAGCGTGCGAGTACTCGCCCTCCTCTGTATGCCAAGATCAGCGGCTATACAACGCCATGGTGAGAAGTGGGCGCTTACCGCAACCGTCGGACTCCGGGCGGATGATCCAGTCCATGGTCATGAACTTGTCGTACGACGAGACCTCCTCAAGTTTGAGAAACTCGCGCGCGACTTCGGGAGTGCGCCGGAAGACCGTCATGTGGCCCGGCATGAAGAGCTGCATCTTCGGGTTGCCGGTTGGCGCGCCCGCGACGAAGACGTCGTAGTTATCGACGAGATCCCACGGGACTAAGAATCATTGTAAGAATGATGAAAGGTAGAAACACGCCGTGACGAACGTACAAGTGCGATCCAAGGAGCCGAGCATCATGTCCAAGTCGCACCAGCCCCATAGCTTGACGCGATCGTCGATGAACTGCTTGAACACCTCGGCCCGGAACGGGCGGTAAGACGAGTTAACCTACGCAACAATGTGAGCAGGAGCGTAATGCGGACATAGAGCTGTAGCGCGCACCCGGTCACCATCCTCGAAACGCTTCTTGACGACCTCTCGCACGGTCTTCTGCTGCTCCTCCGTGCATCCCCACTCTTGACACAGGTAGTCCGCATGCAAGCGGTAGTACTCCTCCAACGGAAGACAGACTTCCCGGATGTTCTTGATGTGCGGCGCGCGCTCCTGCTCGCATACGTCCTTCCCGATGTTGTATTTGTCGAATTTGATGAGTAGGATCTCGATGCGCGGGTTCGCGCCGACAGACGCGAAGAAATTCGGGAGGTAGTTGGCCGTGCGGTGATCCGGGCTCCATAATACGACAAATGTAATGAGTGGTGGTGGGGGAGGCCCAGGTGGTGGGGGTGTATCCGGTAGATTTGCCGGGTCGAATGCGAGGGTGTGGATGGCTTCTTGTTGTGGCGTCTCACCAGTGAGCACGCCTCCCTCCTGCAATGATGTCCTGACAGCTGCCGCCGCCAGCAAGCCAGCTTTCGTCTCCGATAATCCCTCTGTACCGAAAAGCGGCGCCAGAGACGCCGCGTCCTTCCGCATATGTAGTAACGTCCACGGTCCGATCCATAGCAGCAGCGCGGCCCCCAGCGTGGCGCACGCAGCAACCAACAAGCTCCTCGTCCCTCGCTTCATAGACTGTCGTCGAGGGAAACCAGGTCGCAAGGGCGTATCCGGTTCCACCTCCCGCATTATGAGGGCCAAGGAGGCAGAACGGGAGCGTTGGCGGAGGCCGTGCATGGCGGGCGGCAGCAAGTCGGTTTCATCCTAAGACGCGCTGGGATAGGACCATAGCTATTGAGCGCGGCCAAAACCTCCGTGCCCAGTAGATCGCAAGGGACGGAAGCAGAGGAAATCAGCAGGGATATTTCCCAAGTACAACGCGCCGCTGATCGCATCAAACGAACCCGGCCGCGGCAAGCTCCCGCACACTGTGGGCGCTGTGTGAATACCTGCACTACTGCCTGGAGAATGTGTTAGTGGTCATCCATACGAAGCTCTGGAAGTCTACTCACATCTCGAAGTACTACCGACTATTCCTCCAATAAAGACCTAGACAGGGGCTCTTGTCGGGAAATCATGAACCGAATTGAGACGGTGTTATATGCACCGGCCACAGGCTCTTCGGACGCCCTTCGCCGTGTCGAACACATGCGGCTGTTTGTTAGACGCCAGTGGGATGCTAGGTCGAATATGGAGCGCTGCAATGTTCAGCGCGTACATGATAGACAGGGATGAGTGAGCGCATAGCGATGCCACAGCAACGGATGGAATGATGGTCGGCGATCAAACCGCAGTTATATCCAAGGGGATACGTACCGGAGACTTGACCGATCCCGCCACCAGCAGCACCGTACGTAGCTGTGAGGACCCTATGCTCACCGAAGAAAGACATAGAAAGCAATGGCATAAGAACAGAGCGTTGACAACGGAGAACAAGCAAGGAAAGTACATCGTGACCGTTTGGTCAGTGCGCAACCGATACCTTCGAGTTCTCCCAAACTATATGCGCTCGCGCATCCCACAAATGCGCGCTAGCCTCCCTATCAACATACAGCATCTCCCCCGGCGCAATCGCGCGCATCGGCATGCTCCACCACTCCGCGCTCTTCTCGCGCTGGAAGTGCGTGTAGATCGCCTCGCGCAGCCACGGGCGCGGACGCGTGCTATGGCTTCCAAACGCGAGACGCACCTCGGGCTCGAAGCGTTCTGTTACGGGACCGCCGCGCTGGCGGCGCATGAGGAAGCGCCGTGTGTCGCGGCCGTGCATGAGCATGTCGCGGCCGAGCGAGCTGTGGTAGTAGACTGCGAAGTCTGCTGGGAACCAGTACACCAGGCCGTGATCTGCGTGCTTGTCGTTGAGAAGGTCGACCGCTACTTCACGACCTTCGGGGCTGAAGGTGCTGCGACGATGCGCGTCTCGTAGGCGCTGTCGGACTACAGTCGTGATATGTGCGCGGCTGGCTAGCAGGACTTCACCCGCGGTGGGCGGCGCGCTCTCGTTGTAAGCACGCCCAGGTATGGGTATATGCGCTACTGCATCATAGTCGTCCAGCGCAAGCATGGCAGCTGTGGGGTCCTCTAGCGCAAATACGCCACCAAGAGTACTGACGTGGTACTGTGAGTCGGCAAGTGCGTCGAAACGAAGGAAAGAGAGGCCCGTGCGCATGAACAACAGATGGCTGAACTCTGCCTCTTCTGTCGCTTCAGTGGGCGTGAAAGGCATGTTCTCGAAGCTGCTGAAGCTCGATAGCCAGTCGACTTTCATGAATTCTGCAGCTACAGCTGCGTCGCGGCGGAATATGGCTAGGTGGCCGGGAACGAAGACGTGTATGTCGTCCATGTTCGATGGCCAAGCGGAGAAGAGCACGTCGAAGTCGTGGGCGACGTCCCAAGGGACTATAGATGAGGACCAATTTGTCACTGTACCGATGGAGGGAGAAGAAAAGGCGTACACATTCGCTCGAAGGAGCCCAAGAAGAGATCGGTATCAGCCCATCCCCAAAGCTTGAGATCGGGGTGGAGATACTTCTTGAAGATCTCCGCGCGGAATGGACGATATAGCGAGTTGACCTGAGAAGATCAGACGCAGATAGACGCATGAATGTAGTTGTAGACGTACACGATCTGACCTTGTACGTTGCTCTACAAGCTGCCTCGTCCGCCTCCTCTGCGCATCGTCGCATCTCCATTGCCCGCACAAGTAATCCACGTGTAGAGTATAGTACTCCTCCATCTCTAGACAAACTTCGCGAACATTAGGCGCCTCGACCGCAGTTGCAAGTGGGTCGCATGCAGATCCCACGTTATCTTTGTCGAACTTCAAGATGAGCACGTCGACGGACGGGTTGGCGGCAGCGCTCGCGAGGAAGTTGGGAAGTAGTTCCGTACGTGTGTCGGGAATCGCTGGCGGGTACCAGAGGACGATCAATGTGAGAGCCGGCGCGGGGTATGCGGGGTCAACGGGATCAGCGCCTACGGCGAGGTCGAGCGGATGCGGCCGAAAGTCGTCACCCAAAGAGAAGTCTCGACTCGATGGAAGCGAAGGTTCACGGTGTTTCCATCGCTGGGATTCTATGGCGTACAACTCCGCGAGCAGGACAAGGAGGAAGACACCTCCAGCGAGCCCTGCCAGAATACCGATAGAGCGCAGGCGAGGCATGGGTCAAGCAAGAATAGCCGCTTCGCTTCATCATACACGGGAGGGTTATACATCGCGGCGCAGCGAGTCGAGGACAGAAGGGGGAGCATCGCTGACGGGGCGCTATCCTTGACGCTCTTCATACGCCCAACATCCATCCTTTTCTGGCGCGCCGGATACGCGAAAGGCTACGCTCTGTCGCGAAATGGACGGCTCCGTCAGGAACACGCCGTGTAAAGCGCGCAGAAAAGGAACCGAGACTGCTCGGATGTGCGTGTGGGTGTTTTGGGTTCTGCTTCTGAATGACAGGACGTGTCATTGGGTCGTTATAGATAGGCTGCGCAGACACTTCGAGTCGCGTAGCGCTGGGAAAGAAGAGCTCGGGCGTCCTAGGATGGCTGTGCGTGTGCAGGTTGCAGGCCAAGTGCAGGCTGCCCTTGACGTCGCCACCGAGTCGCATCTTCGTCTGGCGCCCGATTGAATCCGCTTGCCGTTGCTCACTCGATCGCTCCAAATGAAACCAGTAGACTCGATGCAAAATGACATGGTGACGATAGCATCGGGAGTACAATGGGAGATAGGCACGACAGCGGCTGTAAGCGGTGCGGACTTCTCGGACATGGTCTGCAGTAAGAACGCTTGATGTAGCACCCTTGCTCAGGTTCATTGCATACAGACGCGCGTACACACATGATGTACTCTTCTGGAGTCGCAGAAGCAGACCATGATGCATGGTACATGACAGCCAGAAACAGGCTCGCGTTGCGCGTCAACGTCGAGGCTTTTGAGGTGCGTGGGATTTGATGCGCCGACTGGCTACGCGGTGCACGTGCGTTTTCGCAGATTCATGCAGCTGTACAGCCGATCCCGCCGCCTCCTTGTAGTTTCCTTCGCTGCCTCTATCATTTGATTCGTCTTCCTCTGCCTTGTGTACAGCTTATCAGACGCTCACAATACCAGTCTAGCTAGTCTAGTAAAGTACATCCACCGAGTCAGAGCATACGTAGTGTATATTCTATACAACAACAACGAACGAATATAGCAGCGCGCGCCCTCACCAATCCTCCCCCTCCTCCCTCCAGCTCCTCCACACTTCTCTCCCAGCCCCATCCCACAACCGCGCCCCATGTGCCCGATCCACAAACATCACCTCCCCCTCCCCCAACGCATGGTCCGGCACGTCCCACCACTTCCGATACTTCTCGTGCTGCAGATGCACGTACAGGCCCTCGCGCAACCACGTGCCCTTCACATGCTCGCCGCGGTGCATCGCCGCTTCCATCCCGTCTTCGTCGTTGGAGTTGGAGTTGGAGTTGGACTCCGGGTGCACGAGCGAGATAGGCCGCTCGGGCTCGAAACGCTCGGACACGGCTCCGCCGCGCGCGCGCCGGAGAACGTAGCGCCGCGCGTTGCGTCCCATGTCGGATTGGGAAGCCGACAGTGAGGAATGGTACGCAACGCCGAAACCGCGCGGGAACCACAGGTCGAGGTCTTTGGGGAGTTTGGCGCCGCTGAGGAGCTCGACGTTCGATTCGACGCCTTGAGCGCTGAACGTTGGGCGTGCGGGCTCGGATTTGCGTTGGACGAGCAGAGGCAGGATCTGGTGTCGTGCGCTGGCAATGGCGTCGCCGATACTGCTGTCCGGGTTATTGACTATAGGTAAATTCGGTGCGTCCGCGGCGTTCTCGATCGCGAACACGCCGTTCAGCGAGTCGAGATGATACATCGACTCCGCCATCGCCGGGAAGCGCACGAACGTCAGCGGCGTCCGCATCAGCAGCACATGGCTGAACTCCGCCTCCTCGACCGCCTCGCTCGGCATGCCCTCGGGCAGCCTCACAAACGCCTCGTAGCTCTTCAGAAAGTGCACCTGCAGGAACGCCGCCGCGACGTCCGGCGCGCGGCGGAACACGGCGAAGTGGCCGGGCACGAAGAGGTGTTGGGATGTGTAGCCGTGCACGGGCCAGGAGGCGAAGAGGACGTCGTAGGAGGGGGCGAGGTCCCAGGGGAACATGCGCGCGAAGGAGCCGAAGATCTGGTCGAGGTCGCACCAGCCCCAGAGCTTGAGGTCGGGGTGGAGGAACTGCTTGAAGATCTCGGCGCGAAAGGGGCGGTACATCGAGTTTACCTGTATCGTAAAAGCGCGTTAGCGAACCATGTATGCGCAAACATGTCTTATGGTGGAGAGCGCACCCGGTCCAACGGAACCCTCTCCTCCAAAACCCTTTCCACAACCTCCCTCTGCTTATGATCACACCCCCACACCCCACAAAAATAATCCACATGCAGCCCCACGAACTCCTCAACATCCAAACACACCTCCCTCACATTCCGCACGCCCTGCGCGTGCAGCCGCTCGCACTGCCCGTCGTCGTACCCGTACTTGTCAAACTTGATGAGGAGGAGGTCGATCGCGGGGTTCGCGCCGACGGAGGCGAAGAAGGAGGGGAGGTAGTCTTCGTTGCGTTTGTGCGGGGACCAGAGGACTATCAGTGTTAGGGCGGGCGCGGGGTTTGTTGGTGGCGGGGGGTCTTCTTTCGGGGGAGTGGGTGGTACGGGTACGGGCGCATGAGGATGATGGGGTACCGTTTCATGTTTGTATGGTGGTCGAGCGTCGGTCGTGTCCTCGTGTAGTGCAGGCGAAGATGGGTTCGACGAGCGAAACAGCGACCATAGTGACAAGAGCGCCCCGCACACCAGCACCAAGCACACAAAGTTCCGACTCCCCATGGCCGACGAAAGCACAGGAGTCCAACTGCGGACGCTCGCGCTGCGCAGCGTTCTATAACTGCCTCATCTCCATCGAGCGTTATCCGGAGAGAAGAGGGTACGAATTCGGAGGGACTTGTTGGCGGAGACACGGTGGGGTTGAAAGCGTGAAAGGGCGCGTAAAAGGGGCACTGCCTGTCAAAGAGCCATTGCATCAACTGTCCGCGCTTAATTATGGTGCATTAGTGCGGGCGTACCGATACGTAGAATCGAGATCTCCAGACTCCGAGAGCGGAGGGTGGCCTTGTTGTGTTAACGAATGCGATCGAGTTCGTTCTAAGAACACATGTTTAGCTTCCGCTGCTTCAGCCTCCTGGTGTGCGAGTGCGAGAAGAACGCAGATAAAGCATACCAGATCCAAGAGGTACCGATACGCGCACTTCATTATGAGCTAAACCCAGTGGAGACAACGTCAAGAAAAACGCAAAAGCGACCGAAAGCATCTGTCAAGCGGATCGGTACCGATTCGACTGACAATATCTGAATCCAAGGGGATATATAGGGGATGTGGCATTAGGCTGGCCGCGCTGGCCTCGTCCGGCGAGCAGAGCAAAAGAGCACAATAAAAATACAATGTAGGTTCTCCTCCTTCTATAATCTATATCCAGCGGTCATCCGTCAGTAAGACCGACCCAGAAGTCAAGTATATGGCGGGCGGAGCGCAGTCTGCCCCCATCTGCATCTGCCTCATCGGCGCTCGACTCGGACGCGCGGCGACTCCCAGACGATCCTCCCCCGCGCGTCCCAGACGTGCGCACCGTGCGCTCGATCGACGTACATCCTCTCGCCAGCCTTTAACGCATTTGGAGGTAGCGCCCACCAGTCTACACTCGACTCATCAGCTTCGGTCATTCCTATGCTCAGCAGTACGAGAATACGCACCGCGGTACTTCTCATGTTGAAAATGATTATACAGCCCCTCCCTCAGCCACGGTCTGTTCCCGGTACTATACCGCGCATTCACATCGACCTTACCCGGCGGGACGGAGACCAGCAGCGGTCGTTCGGGCTCGATGCGCTCCGTCACGGGTCCGTTGGGCGCGCGCCGCATGAGGTATCTCCGCGTGTCGGCGCCGTTGTTGGCGAAACTGGGTCCCAGTGTGCTTTCGTACGCGACGAAGAATTGAGGCGGGAACCAGAGGTCCAGCCCGGCTGCTGCGTCGGCGCCGGCGCGTATCTCCACCTCGCGCTCGACGCCGTCCGCGCTGAACGTCTGCATCCCCGCCGCGCCCGATCCCGCGCCCTCTGCATGCTTATCGACATTCCCTTCCACCGCGTCGTTGATCTGCGCTCGCAAAGACACGAACGCGCGCTCGGTCGACCCGCGCAGCGCCGGGTCCGCCTCGGCGCTCGACGGGTCGCGGTCGGCCCACCACGCGTTCTCGAGCGCGTAGATCCCGCCGGGCGCGAGGGCGGAGATGTGGTGCGCGCTGTCGGCGAGGGCGGTGCCGAGGCGGAGGAAGGTGAGCGGGGTGGAGGTGAAGAGGTGGTACGAGTACTCGGATTCCTCTGCGTCGTCGTCGTGAAGTCAGTTTGGCAGAAGTGCCACACGAAGGCAAAGGAAGCGCACCGGGCGAGTCCCATTCCCACTTGCGCGCCTTCCACTTCTCGAAGCTGCTCAGCCTCTCGAGCTTCATAAACTCCCGCGCCACCTCCTTGCTCCTCCTAAACGCAGTAAAGTGCCCCGGCATAAAGACCTGCACGCGGCTGTTATCGCCCGTGGGCCACCCCGCGAGAATCACATCGTAATATGGTGAGAGGTCCCACGGGAACATGCGCTCGAACGAGCCGAGGAAGACGTCGAGGTCGACCCAGGCCCAGAGCGGGGTGTCGGCGTGCAGGAGGTCGCCGAAGATCTCGGCGCGGAAGGGGCGGTAGTGTGAGTTCACCTACTCCCTATCAGTACAATCCTGAGTGTACTCAAGTCATTGACGAACGTACCCGATCCCAGAAGAGCCTCTCCTCGAGCACATCCCGCGTCTCCCTCCTCTGCGCCTCGCTACACCCCCACTCTCCACACAGCCACCCAACATGCCTTTCAAAATACTCGTCCAGCCCCATGCACACCTCCCGCACGTTCGCGTACCCGTCGCCCTTAACGAGCGGCTGCTCACACTGCCCGTTGCCGAGCTTGTACTTGTCGAACTTGACGAGGAGGAGCGATAAAGACGGGTTCGCGGCGGCGGAGGCGATGAAGTTGGGGATGTGGATCGACGGGCGGTCGTCTTGCGGCGACCAGAGCGCGATGAGCGTCAGGCGGGGCGCGACGGGGACCGGGTCCGTGCCGAATGTCGATTCTTCAACGCTTTCGACCTTTGAGTCTATGGGTGGTGGCGCGGCGACGATAGGCGGCCTCGCGTCGTGTGCGGGCGGCTTGGGGTCGTGTGTTGCGTCGTGATCGGGGACTGGGACGGGTTGGTGGATGTCGACGGCCGGTCTGTCGGCGTGGAAGACGGTGTCCGGGCTGTAGGTGTAGAGCCCCAATACGATGAGACCGACGAGCAGAGCCAGCAGTAACGTGCGCCGCGGCAAGGGCGGCATTGTGTGGTAGCAGTGTGGTGTGTTATGACAATGATACGATACAGAGGGTCGAAAGCAGAAGAGCAGAGCGAGATGTAAGTGTAAGTAACAGAGGGAGCGGGTATTAGTTGGTGGTGGCAAGGCAGGACATGGCCGCCGTGTGTAAAGGACGGGCGACGATTGTATACGACGGTCCATCTTGGCGGCGCTTTCGAGTACGTGCCCTTCCTTCTCTTGTTTGTGCCCCGTCTCCATCATCAACAAAAGGCGGCCGCAGCCGACCGCGCGTAACAACGCCTACAGGCGGTAAGACACATTGCTCTCTTTCGCTTCTTGCGCTGACTTGACCGCAACAGGCCAGTATATGCACGGTGAGCCACCTTGTATCGCGGCGATAGAGGACCTGTGAAACGTACTCACAGCCCGCTGGAAGTAGGCAACGAACAGCATGTCCGATCAGGGTAATGACGCCCGCCCAGCGCCCCTATCCGACGGGAACAGCTTGCGCGCCGGTGCCGCCGGTACCTGCCGACGACCACCATGGGCACGGCCTTCTACCTGAGGCATCTATTTCAAACGCATACATAGCGCTTGTATGTCTGTGAAAGCTTCTGTACTGTCGAGCATGTCAGCGGCGTCGTTTTCGCTCGGCTGGCTGCTGGGCGTCTAGTCTTTCTCTGCCATTCAATGCCGCCTCTTCCCGCGCGTTTCAACAGCCACTGAAGGAGGATATCGATCATTTGTTCCATTCGACGCGCTATATGCGTTGTCTGGCGCTGCATCAGAGCAGCCGAGGTCGACATCTAGACTTCGTCCTCTCGAGCGCTTCGGCGCGCCACATCTCGAGGGCCAGTCCCTCATCGGCTCTACAGAGCTACGACGCGCTTACGCAACCGCTCCTTGACCAGCCTTACGGATGATCAAGGCTATGAGCGTGATTGGGAGCGCATACATGGTCAATGATAGGCGCCCTTCAAGCCCGGGGCCCTCCGCGCAGGGTCGCGTGATATGTGCAGCCAGTCGCCTTACAGTCTCCTGTCTACTGTAAGCAACCATTGTATATGCATCTCGCGTTCGCATGTTGTACTACACTTTCTTCTTTCGTCACGAATCCTATGCAGATTCTTGTTTATCTCTGCGCGTGATGTTCACTACTGCCTCGGTGAGGTTCGCCACGCCAGGCAAGCCTACATATACAGTCATTGACCGACTCGCCTCGTAGCTGAAGGTTATATGGCTACACAGAGCCTGCTTTCAATTCGGCGTGCGTATGACCATCGACACGCCGAAGTGATTACGGGGGAGAAGCCCAGACGTCTATGAGCGAGCGAGCGTAAAGTGAAAGTCATCGAAAGAGTACATGTCAAAGAACGCAAGCATATACACATGATACGTTGCCCTCTACCGCACTACCTCCTCAAACCATATCAACTCTCGTCTGCACATCACCCTTATCAACCATCTCGATCCTCTCCTCCCTCCCTTCCTCCTTCTCCACAAATCCTCCAGCACTCTCACCACTCTCAACCCCAATCCTCCTCATATCCCTCTCCGAGAACCTCCCCGCCAACCCCATCCTCACCTCCACAACCCACAGCCTCGCCCAGATCGCGCACCAGCTCACCACAAACATCGCCACGCCGAGCGCACCCATGCCTACGATGATGCCCGCCAGGACGCCGTGCGTGTGCTTGGTCGGGTCGAGGAAGCCGTAGGTGTAGAAGCCCTCGGTCGCGTGGGTTATGTATGCTATGCAGGCGTAGCCGCCGAGCATCAGGGCTATGGGAATAACGTGTCTGCGTGATATATGTTAGCGGGTGCCACACTGTGGAGCGAGAGAGAATGGGGGCACACATCAACGGCGGGCGTTCGGTGCGGGAGAACGTGATCTCGAATAGCGCGAAGGCGGTGTTCAGCGCGTGATGCGATATCTGTGTGCGTCCGGTCAGCAGAGCGATCTCAGTTACGATATCGAGCGGGAACACGCACATTCGACCATGTGTTCACCGCCGTGTCGAACTTGTCCGGCCCGAACTGCAGCCCCCAGAACACGACCGTGACCATGAGCGGGTACGTGACGACCGTCGAGAACAGCAGCGAGTGCAGGAGCTGCAGTGTGCGTGGCCAGGAATCGAGCGGCGCGCGGCCGGTGCGGGCGTAGGAGAGGGTGTGGAAGGACGCGAAGATGTGGTAGAAGGTTATGCCCCACCAGGTTATGTTGCTGAAGTAGGAGAAGGATTGGGCGGGGGAGGGGTCGGAGCGTATGGACCTGTATGAAGTATGTGAGTAAGAGTGGGCTGTGGGAGGTGAGGTGGTGGGAGAGAGAGGCTTACATGGAAACGATTATGGTTAAGACGCCGTAGAGCGCGATGAGCGCGCGGAGAGAGCCGAGAACATAGGGCGAGAACGTCGCGGACGTCTCGAAGCGGTGGTAGGGATCGAAGGGGGTTCCGACGTGGAAGAGGGACCAGAAGCGCGACATCCTGGCGATGTGGCGAAAGCTAGGAGAGTCAGCGGAGGGCGAAGTAGGGTAAGTGTGGGGGATGGAGGGTTGCCTGAAACTCTTATGTATCAGTCGCTAAGGTCACCAGTTCGTCGCTAGCTACCCAATACGGCGCGGCTGTTTGGATGTCGCACGAGATGATCTAGAGTCTTGACACAAGCATCCCGCGGCTTCAGCGTGTGGTGATAGACTAGCCGATTCGCGCTACAAGTACATATCGAGCTCAACACTGAAAGTAAGTTTGCAAACCCGTCTTCAGCGTGCAGCAGATGACTATGCGTGCATACTCAAGCAAGACGATAAGCCTTCATTCAGTATCTTAGTCCTGCGGTGCAGCACTAGAGAAGGCTCGTTTAGACAGATTCATGATGACAAGCCGCGAAGCACTGGGCTTGCCAAGAAGGACCTCCAGCGCTGAAGATGTTCCGTACACGCACAGAAGTACCGCAGAACTTGAAACCATATGAGTCTAAATGGCAATACAGATCATCGGTATCGCTAAGAGCACTCGTCCAAAACAGCAACCACAGCGTTTTGAGCGGCACAGAAGAGGCAGAGATGATGGTCACGGGGATTTGGAGTGATCGTAGCCTGTGACTAGCCGCACGCGTATAGATGTTCTCGTATATCGAGAACCCCGATGCTCTCAAAAGGACATCGTTGAGGTGGTGGTGGTGGTGGTGTCAAAGCAAGCCGCGGTTGGCCCGCGGGACAGCGCGGGTTAGATATGTCATCAAGCTTGCGTCAGATCCGACGGGAGAGCGCCACAGGTGGCTTCGCGCTGTTTACCTACTTACTTCAGACGCTTGCAGACACTCGGCGCATCTAGGTTAAGCCTCACGCAGTGATAGGAGCATCTGGACGAAGTACCGGTAAATGTCTATGACAGCATTATGCTCTACAGAGCGCTTATACATACTTTGTGAACAATTTCGTGGCGCATACAATCACCTAACCTACGCGCGCTTCCCAAGCAAACGAGCCTTCCTCGCCGCCCGAATGTCCTCGATCCCAATCCGCGAGCGGTCACACATACTACGGAAGATCGAGTCCTCCCTGGCGAAGAGCGACTCCGGCGTGTCGAACTCGGCGACTTGGCCGGCGTCCATGACAAGGATGCGGTCGTAGCCGATGATGGTGTTGAGGCGGTGGGCGATGCATAGGAG